CTGTGTTTTAAATGTCTACTTGTGTTGTCTTATTGTAAATCAAAAGTAAAATTCTAAGCCCCCCACATCTGAACGGACCCCTCCTCTCAGCTAAGGGCTTTCCAAGGTTAACCTGAACACCTTGTTGAGGCCACTGTGGGAGCGGGACGGGCCTCCTTCTCCCTCCTCCCGTTTGGAATTACTGATAGAACAGACTCTAACTCTGATAAGAAACATTTACAATCTCTTCTCTCTGAAGCCGGCTACCTGGGGGCCCCATCTGCTGATAAAACCTTACTCTCCGCACCCCTCGTCTTGACCCAGACAGTCCTTTCTGTTGATAATAACTCTTTCAACCGATTACCGATCAGAAAATCTCTGAATCTACCTATGACCTGGAAGCCCCTTTCCCCTTCTCATTGACCCACCTCTCCAGACCGAACCAGTGCACACGTCACCTGTACTGACTGGTGCTGGCACCTCCCTGAAATCTACAAAGCCAGGCTGTGCCCCAACCACTTACCGGGCATCCCCTCAGGGTCCCCTGGGGCTGTGTCACAGGCCGTGGCCATTCACATTTGGGTCAGAATAAACCTCTTCAACTATTTTACAGAGTTTGACTCTTTTTGTCAACAGTGTTAGCGGTGAGCAGCCAGAGAGATGAGTGGAGGGAAGAGGAGACGCGTTCTCACGTACAGCCCGCCTCCTCCACTCAGCAGCACCCAGCGCCTGCTCTGACCAGTGTCCCACGGCCTGGGGTTTGGGGTGGAACCCACCACGCCTGCTGCTTCACTATGTTCTCAGAGCTCTTTAAAAAGAAAAAAAAAATGACCACCATGAAACTGTTAAAGCACTGGGTAATTAAAGCAAGAAAAAAAAATCAGAGAAAAAGTCAATGCACAAAATTAGGGCTGGAAAGTGTGACTGACCAGACAGACAGAGCGAGGTAAAGCGCCCAGTCCCAGGTGCTCAGATCATGTTGTGCAGAACTCTGTGCCAATGATGTGAAAGCCAGGAGGCAATGCAGCTTTTCAGGACAATCCAGAGGGGCAGGATGGACGTGGGGACGGCCCGGAGGCTGCATGAACCGGGAAGGCGCTGGGTGGGACCTCCACTCAAGAGAGGTCTGCGGTTCTCACTTCCAGCAGGGCCCCCACAGCCATCTGGGAAGAGGACACATCCTTCCTTCCTCCACGGGCCTCCCGGGTTTTCCGGCTCTCAGGGCCTGCACGTCAGAGGGCAGGCTCCTCCTGCCCCGCCGCACCCTGCAGTGCCTGCACCTGCACCCCTTCCTGCAGGCCGCCCTCTCTCTCTTCACACCTCAGCTGGGAGGGAGGAGAAAGAACAGGGAGTGTGACCCCTATGTGTGGGATTTCAGGATACTGGCAATTGTCTATTCTAAGTAAAATATCCAGCCCCTCTGAGTGGTGTCTAACTTCCACACTTAGAGACTTTTTCCTCTGACTGAAGCAAAACCACGCTGCCACTCACTTCTCAGGGGTGCCAGCCCCGGGAAGGGGCATTCCTGGAAGGCTCTGCACATCGGGTTGCAGCCCCCCCAAGAGTGGAGAAGAGTGTGGTTTGGAGTCCTCATGCTGCACGGTCATGGCCACTGAGCCCGGAGGAGCTGCCTTCATCCCATCTGAATTCCGTGGCCCGGGCAGAAGAGCACTTGCCACGCTGAACAAATGCTCCAGCAAAGCCTGGTGCTCTGGGTCACAGGACGTTCTACAACAGGCAACACTGGTCTGCTGCGGCTGAGGTCAGAGCAGAGGTGCCCCAGGGCAGGGCGGGGCCGACTGGTAGGGGCACAGGGGCCTCTGTGGGGTGACAGGGTGGTGTCCATCCTGAGGGTGTGGGTGATCACCTGTGCACACTTTCAAAACTCAGGGAAATGCAATGCTTACCACCCGTGCGTTTTGCTGCATGTAAATTATACCAGAATAAAGGAAGCAGTAAAGGGGGAAGGAAAAGGCAGGTTTGCGATCTTCATCGCCGAGGCTGGCTTCCTGGAAACAAGCACAGGCTGAGCCAGATGGGCACGTGGGGTGGCAAAGGTCACGACCCTCGGAGAAGCCCCATCAAACCCCCTTGCCCCAAAGGACATGGAACTGGCACCTGCTGAGAGCGACAGAGCCAGAGGGTGCGTAGGCAGAGCCAGGCAGGCGTATCAGAGGCCTACAGGGTGTCACCAGTAACACAGTTCTAACCAACAGGCATCGAACGCCTTTCAAGTGCCCACAGAACGATCGCACAAATGGACTGCTCATATCTGCGCCCAGAGCAAACCTCCAATTCCAAAGCACACACAGCGACCGGGCAGTACGCCTGACTGCGGGTTAAAATTGTTCTCTGTCTTCTTAGGTTCTCTACTGGGGCCCGCAAATTAAACAAAAGATGGCTTAGAGAAAGACAAAGTTGATTCATGTAGGGCTGAGGGCCCCACAGGGTCGTGGGGTGAGCCTTATGCTGCGCTGACGCGCAGGGTCCGAGAAATAAAGAGACAGGACACAGAAGTACAAGGAAAACGCAGCTGGGCTCGGGGGCCCCGAATGTCCAGAAGCCTGAGTATTTATTGTGTATAGGTTACGGGGCAGGGCAGTGAGTGAAATCATCTTTAAGGGTAGTGATAGGGTCGTGAGCAATAAAACATGGGGTCCACCCCCATTAGGCCACCGAGGCCAGGAGGTGGGCCGTGCACAGTGAAGAGGACGCTTTAAGTCACACAGCAGTGACAGAGCTGTCAGGGTTACCGCCACCTTCTGGCAGCTTCCAATGGGTTCCGTGGGAAGATGCTTTTCGAGCAGCACAGTAGCAAGAGCTGAGAGAGTTCACAGTCACCAAGGTGGATTGCCGGTCTGAGGGCGGCCTTCCACAAGAACTGGAGCAGGGTCCTACAACTCCTTTACCAGGAGGAGTGGCTCTCGCCCCAAGCCTGCCATACAGCGGGTATCTCTACGATACTGAACGCTGCCGCCTGGGCTGTGGGTTCTTGTCCTGGCATAACTGTTCTTCCCTTAAATCATGCTCTGCACTGTGTCCGCTCTAGGCATTCCTCCAATTATGAACTAAGATATGATTATAGGTATATATGTAGGGAAATATTCTGTAGGCACTCATACTATCAGCTATTATATGATTATAAGTAGAGGATTGTATAAAGGGATTCTTCAAGCCCTAATTCTATAAACTAATATATGATTATGTAAAGGATTATATAAAAGGAAACAGCTGAGTGGTAACACTGTAAACTGAGATATGCCTCAGGCCCTAACTGTGCCAGGGTTCTGCTTAGCTCTTATTCCTTGGTGCCTATTTGGGGGTTACCCACAATTCACATGCATACTCAGGAAGAATGACTCAAAGAAGCAGCTAGAATAAGGGGCTGAGAAACCATCTTAAGGGGAAGGAGGCAGGACCCCGAGGGCCAGCACGTGGGGGAAGTGAGCGAGGAAGACACAGGAAGCTGGCGGAGGGCAGGGTCCGCTTGGGGAAGGTCTGTGTGTGCGATTTCTCACCCCTGCGCTGACGTCCCATCTCCAGTGCCTGGAGTTGCTTGGTCTCCTGGTACTAGAAGCCTCCTTTCAAGGGGCTGTGATGGCTGAGTCCTTCTGAAAGGTTCTGCTTTTAGGCAGATAAGGCTTCTGTGGAAAGCCTCCTCCTGCACTGTGGATTCCCAAATGCTGTTGACTCGAAATGATCCTTACACCACAAAGTGTGATCTGGATCCCTTCACAGACCTGCACATATACACACAGATGCATGTGCCTCCACGTATGTACACACGCACAAACACATGCACACCCAAATAAACACACACGCATGTACTTACACATACGCACACATGCACAAACACACATGCACATCCCAATAAACACACACATGCATGTGCTCACACGTATGTACACATGCACAAACACACACACCCAAATAAACACACACACATGTGCTTACACATGTCCACACGCACACACACCCAAATACACACATGCATGTGCTCACACGTATGTACACATGCACAAACACACCCAAATAAACACACACGCATGTGCTCACACGTATGTACACGTGCACATGCAATTAAACACACACATGCATGTGCTTACACACATGTACCTATGCACAAACACATGTGCTTACACATATGTACACATGCACAAACACATACACATACCCGAATACATACATGCACGTGCTGACACGTGCATACACATGCACAAACACACATGAACATCCAAATAAACACACATAGGCATGTGCTTGCACATATGTCCACATGCACAAACACCCACATGCACCCAAATAAACACACACATATGTGCATGCGCATGTGTCTACACATATGTACACATGTGTCTACACATATGTACACATACACAGAGACCTGCACATATACAACACATGCATGTGCTTACACGTATGTACACAAGCACAAACGCATATGCACACCCAAATAAACACACACGTGTGCTTACATGCACACACATGCACACATACACTTGTGCACATATACACATGCACACATGGACATGCACATGTACAAAGTGCACATATACACAGTCATCCATAGCCACACAAATGCACAGAGAAACGTGCTTACACATGGGTGCACAAGTTCACACATACACATATACACACGTTCCCATGTACACATATACATCCACCTCCACATGAACACTCATGCATTCCTATGCTTACACACACATGGGCAAGCACACATGCACGTACATCCACCTGAATACACATATAGTGCATTGCTTACACACATGTTCACATACACAACCACACAACACACACATGCATGTACGTACACACATACACACATGCACACATAAACATTCACATGAATACACCATACACATGCTTATACATATGCACACACATATACATGCTAACACAGTCACATACACACATGTGCAATACAGTCATACATGCAGCAAGTATATACCCAAAGAAACGTACACACACACACACACACACACACACACGCGCGCGCTCCGAATGAGAAAGAAAAGTCCAGCTTACAAGTTCTAGCAAACCTTTTAGGAACATGTAATTACATGCTGTGAACCAGTTCAGGAGCACAGACGGGAAGATCAATTCCACATTCTTCCTTTCTTTGAAAAGAAATCACAGAATCACCTTCCTTATCAACATCAAGGCACAGATTCTGTACCAACAGACGCACAGTGAACGAAGGGAGTGAGGGAGCCCCTGGCAGCTGGAGGAGACACACGGTCTCACGGAGCCAGTTCTCTTTAAACCAACCTGAGCCAGAGAAAATGCCAGCAGTGTGCTTCGGCTTTGTGTTTCCTGTTTGTTTCGTAAACTAGACCAGATGTTTCAGCATTTACATAAAAATAAACATGCAAATACAGTCTTACAAAACGTTGAACAGCGAGGCCTCCGAGAAGACAGTGCCACCACAACGTCAAAGTGCACCCCGAGCGACAGCAGCCTCACGGTGGTGTGGGGCCCGCCGGACCCGGAGTTCAGAACGAGGCTCTGCTCTAATGACACAGCGAGGCTTCAAAACTGTCTCCAGGTGAATGGATGGTCAGCTCATGGTGCTAAACAGGGTACGATGTAACTGCCATTTCTGTGAGCCGGAAAGGAATACACATGTACACATCACCTGTGCAGTGTCTGCGGAACGGAGAGGGAAGGCAGGTAGAAGCATTAATTAAGAGCTGCAGATTCATCAGATAAAAACGTGTGACCCCAAGTTGGGTGCTGGGATGCAGCAATGCTGGGAGTGATGGGAATGCTGGGGTGCTGGGGTGTTGGGATGTTGGGGTGGTGGGATGCTGGGGTGCTGGGAGTGATGGGGATGCTGGGATCCTGGGATGCTGGGGGTGGTGGGGGTGCTGGGATGCTGGGGTGGTGGGGATGCTGGGATGCTGGGGTGGTGGGGATCCTAGGATGCTGGGGGTGGTGGAATGCTGGAATGCTGGGATGCTGGGATCCTGGGATGCTGAGGGTGGTGGGGATGCTGGGGTGCTCTGGTGCTGGGATGCTGAGATACTGGGGTGCTGGGGGTCATGGGATGCTGGGATGTTGGGGTGCTTGGATGCTGGGGTTCTGTGGTGCTGGCATGCTGGGTGCTGAGATGCTGGGATGCAGGAATGCTGGGGTGTTGAGAGGCTAGGATGGTGAGTGTTGGGGATTATGGTGATGGTGGAGATGCTGAGATGCTAGGGTGCTGGGATGCTAGGGATGGTGGGAATGCTGGGGTGCTGAAATGCTGGGTTGCTGTGGATCCTGGGGTGCTGGATGCAGTGCTGTTGGGGATGACGGTGGGTGTTCTCCCTGTCTTTCTAGGACATGTGCACACTGCCCTCGGGTATCACCCTGGAAACTGTGAGAACTCAGCTGCTGGGTTGCTGATATGCTCCACACTCAGGGGCTGTCCCTTTGGGAAAGGTGTCTGTGGAGGTGGGCAGCCCCTCTTCGAATCCTCCTTGGGGGTGAAGCTGCTTTCCCTGAAAACATCAGGCTCCCTCCCAGCTGCTGGACCCCACGGGGTGGTCTTGGTCACCTGGGGCAGCGCTGCCTCTTTTGTACTCTGCTGACCCCAGAGCTGGGCCCTGCACAAGTGGTCGGTGATGTCAGTGGATTTGAGATCTGTTCCCCTGTGCCTCCCCAGGGGAGGTCCACACGTGCACACACATGCACACTCACACACACAGGGTCACACAGGACCATGCTCACTAGCCACACGCTACACACAGGCACTCTTGTATATACACGGCACATGCTGACACTGACAGCCACAGAATCGGTTCACACCCACCCCCTCCTGCTGACACTCTCACACACGTGCACTCACCACGCCCTCCCCTAGTGGGCTCTGGGGTTCCACCGACTGTGGCTGGGTGGCCACCCTGTGGCCTTCACTGCTGTGTGGCCCAACATACTGAGGTGGCCTGGGGCCTCTCCCAACCTGGGGATCAGCTCTTCATGGTTCCCTGGGCCCACATTCTCCTGCAGGCCCGGGCTCAGTGGGCCCTCACACGTGGGGGCTCCAGCCCAGCCCCCTTTCCCAGACTCCACGTTTGGATTCTCGAGCCGTGAGGAACGTAGCCGTGCTGGCACCGGCAGGCCCAAAGTTGAAGCCAAAGCTGGCACTGCCGGGCCAGATGCCAGCTGGGCAGAGGGAAGACCCACAGGCCCCTGGGGCAGCGGTGCAGGTCAGCTGCCAGCACTCTTGTCATAACGGGCAGCTGAAACTGCCCCAGTACCCCGCCTTTCTGGAGGGGTCACCAAGCCAGGGCCGGGCTCCACCTGGCCATCTGTGAGGTGTGCAGCTTTGTGAGCTGGGGTTGACCCTTGGGTGGTTTAAACAGCTGTGGTGGGAGGATGTGCGAATGCTCCCAACCAGGGACTTCCTTCCAGTTTTTCCCTGGAGCGTCTGCTTCCAGTGCCCACTACCAGGGACCCTCGGTGCCTCCCCACCTTCACCCGCCCTCACTTCTCCAGCTTCTCTAGGGGAGGCAGCACCTCACTCTTCTGAGTGGAGCTGGGGAGAGCCGGGACCCCACACCTCACCACGTCCCTCCTGCCCCCCACTTCTGCTTGCCTGTCCCCAGGAGCTGGGATTCCAGGTCAATTTCATCTAAGTTCTCTTTCAAGTGCATCCACCCCAGTGGGGTTTAGTTACTGGCCCCACCTGCACTGGAAGAAGCTGTGTCTTTAACTTCTGTTCTGCTCATTTAAATATATCCCGAGATGTTTTAAAGAACAATTCAGTCATCTTCCGGGCCTTCACCTGGTGAAATTACAAATGTTCAGGATTCTCACCAACTTCTGGTTAGGCCAGTGGCATGGGTGGAATCGTGTCCCCCTGAAACTCTTATGCCGGAGTCCTTGTAGCACAACCTCAGAATGGGGCCTTATTTGCAGACAGGATCTTCAGAGGTGACCGTTTAAAATGAGGTCCCAGGGTGGGCCCTAAACCCCACAGCTGGTGTCCATATAAATCAGGCACATTTGAACATGAAGACACAGACAAGACGGCCACACCCGGCCATGCAGGGCAGGGGAAGACCGCCACATCCGGCCACGAGGGGCAGGAAAAGAAGACCACACCCGGCCATGTAGGGCAGAGGAAGACGGCCATACCCAGCCATGAGGGGCAGGAAAAGATGACCACACCCGGCCATGCGGGGCAGGGGAAGACCGCCACATCCGGCCACGAGGGGCAGGAAAAGAAGACCACACCCGGCCATGCGGGGCAGGGGAAGATGGCCACACCTGGCCACGAGGGGCAGGAAAAGATGACCACACCCGGCCATGTGGGGCAAGGGAAGACGGCCATACCCAGCCATGAGGGGCAGGAAAAGATGACCACACCCGGCCATGAGGGGCAGGGGAAGACGGCCACACCCAGCCACGAGGGGCAGGAAAAGAGGACCACACCCGGCCATGCAGGGCGGCCTCAGAGGAAGCAGCTCCGGCCCCTCGATCTCAGCCTTCACGCCTCCTTTCCCGCTGTTTAAGCTGCCCGTGGGAGCGCCCCATTATCACAACGCAAGCAGGTCTCTGGGGTCCAGCCTGGGAACCCGGAAACAGACACCATCTCTACCCGGCAAGATAGGGCGGCGAAATGAGAAATCAATCGATCTGGTCTCTGCTCCCGAGACCGGGCTCAGGGCTCCAAAAACCCTCCGAATTTCCAGGGTGACGGCAACACCATCTTTTGTTCAAATGAGGTGAGGCTTGGTGGCTCCTGCAGGGGGGCTGGTCACCGCATAGACCAGCCAGGATGAGCACCAGCAGCTCTCGGCCCTGTCCCGCCCTCCTGCAGGGGGGCTGGTCACCGCATAGACCAGCCAGGATGAGCACCAGCAGCTCTCGGCCCTGCCCCCGCCCTCCTGCAGGATCACCCACCAGCATCCATCGCGCCCATAGAGTGCCTGAAGGGATCGGGAGCAGTTCTGGGTTGCCAAACACATCCACGTGCCAGGAGGGATCCCCACTCCATGGGGACAGAAACTCCCACACTGCAGACCCTTTCGGACCCCGTCCTGTGCCCCTGTCCGCCTGGCTGCCCATCTGTGGCGTTTCTCCTCTCCTTTTCCTGAGTTCTGTGATAATTTCGTGTTGCACTCCTGGTGTTTAAGGCTAATGTATAACTAGAAAACTGAGTTTCAATATTTACTGCCCTTGGACTTGGAAACTCTCTTACTACATTATGTTTGGGAGGTGTTTCCTCTGCGGGAATGAATATTTTATCAAGGCTGTACACACGCGTGGGGTCTCTTTACCAACAGAGGCCCATTTGAGAACTGACTTTGGGAAGGAATATGGCCATTTAGCAGGGATCGAGGGTGCCAGCTCCAAGAGCAGCGGGACTCCAGGAGCCTGAGAAACGGGTGGCGCTCAGGTTTCAGCAGGGTGTCAAGGCAGCCGATTTGAGCCAAGGTAGGTGTGGGTGCCTGTCACGCGGTTATCACATTTTACAGTCTATCTGCGTATGTGCATAAGGCATGCTTCCGATTTAAAAAATGCATCTAAGAAAACGTGGAATGCTCGTCAGCCACCCACCCCCTCCCACCTGGGGCACAGGAACAGGGCACCCCCATAGCAGACTCCCCCCGGGACTGCACTCCCACCCACCCTGAGAGAAAGCCGCGCAGCTTTAACACGACACGTTTCTGTTCTTTCTCACAGGAGGCGGATTGGGACACAGCAGCTGCCCCAGGTGGGGGACCCCAGCTCCTGCCTCGAGCCTGGGGCGGTTCCACCACCCGGCGCAGATTGGCTGCTTACGCCCCGTTTTTTGGCGGCCGCGTTTCCACCATCTGAAAAGAGGAAGCACCACAGAGGGGGGCCGCCCTCCCTTGGAGAACACCCAAGGGGAAGGCGCGGGGCCGGGAGCAGCCCCCACACCCCGAGGGCCCCGCGGGACCCAACGGCCCTCCCGGAAACCGCTCCGAGGCCCCCTGGGCAGGCTCCCCTGCCACGCGGCCTCAGCTCGGCCACGTCCTTCCGCCCTCCCTGCACCTCCGGGCCCGGCCCCAGAGGGCGACCCCTCCCCTCCCCCCGTGCCCCACCCCGTCCTCGCCCTTCCCGCCCTGACCCCCTGGGCCTGCAGTGCGAGGCCGCCGCCACCTCCCGGCCCTTCCTGCCGGACGCACTGAGCCCGAGAAGCCGGGCCCTGGACCCCGGGCCTCCAGGCCAAGGTCAGCCGCTCCTCCGCGCTTGGCTCGCGAAGGAGACCACCGGGACCTGCTGCCCCCGCCCCCGGGACCCACCCCCCGGCTCCCCTTCCCCTCGCACGCTGTGCCCCTCAGCAGGTCCTGTGCCCTGGGCCCCCAGCCTGCCCTGACTCCCGGCATTCGACGCCTCCAGGCATCTGAGTTCGCCCCGCACCCCCCCTCCCCACCCAGCGCCCTGGGCTTGGATCTCAAACTCCTGTGGGCTCCGCACTCCTGACACAACCTGGTCTCTGGGGGCCTCTCCCGGGCGGACCTTACCCAGATGGGCTTCTCCCTGGGGGTCCTCTCCCCGGGGGTCCTGTCCAGGGTGTCCTCTCCCTGGGGGTCATCTCCCAGGGGGTCGCCCCCGGGTGGGCCTCACCCAGATGGGCTTCTCCCTGGGGGTCCTCCTCCCCCAGATGGGCTTTCCCTAGAGCTCCCGAGCGTGCCTGTCGCCGGGTGAGTCCCGGGCCCTCCCCACCCCCGGATGAGCCAAGTCCTCCATTGGCCAAGTCTCCAACTCCGGTCGTAGCCGCCGCCCGGACAACGCGCGCTTCCCGCTCCCTGGGGGGCCGCTGCCCTGCGTCTGCTCCCCCCGCCTTGACCCCGCCGCTGCCAGGTCTCAGCTCGCCCCCAACCCCGGCGGCTCCTCCACGTCCGCAGGCCCGCGTTTCCCCTTCCAGGCGCATGGCGGGGGCAAATCACCACTCGTGAAAGGGATGACGGAATGAATGAATGAATGAATGAGCGGACGAGCGCAGGCGCGGGGGACGCAGGAAGACGTTCCCCGGTAGGCGGAGGGTGAGCCCGAGGCCGGCACCAGAACCCGGCACACCCGGGCCCGGAGCGGGGAGAGGACGGCCCGCGCGCACCCCTCGGCGCCCCCGCCCCTCGCCCCGGCCTCCGCGGGAGTCGCCGGCCCCGTGTCCTCGCTCCCGGGACGCTGGCGGGGGCCGCAGGGCGTGCGCGTGGGCCGTTCGCCTTCCGACAAGTGTGGCCCCGCCGCCGACCCGTAGGCCGCCGTCCGCGTCCTTTTCGGTCGCCAGGCAACCGCGGCCGGTCCGCGCGGGCGGAACCCAACCGGCCCTGGGCAGCGGGACGCACCGCGGAGCGGGGAGGGCGGACGAGCCGGGCGCCGGCGCCATGGACCTGGTCATCACGCAGGAGCTGGCCCGCGCCGAGAGCCTGCAAGGTGGGCAAGGCGGCCCTGCCCCGCCACGACCCCGCCCCGCCCGGGGAGGCCCCGCCCCACCACGACCCCCGCCACGACCCCGTCCCGCCCGGGGAGGCCCCGCCCCCACCCCCGCCCCGCCCTGGGAGGCCCCGCCCCACCCCCCCGCCCCGCTCGGGAAGGCCCCGCCCCGCCCGGGCAGGCCCCGCCCCCATCCCCCGCCCCGCCCGGGGAGGCTCCGCCCCACCCCCCCGCCCCGCTCGGGAAGGCCCCGCCCCGCTCCCGCCCCGCCCCCGCCCCGCCCGGGGAGGCGACCCCTGAGGGCCACGGCGGAGCCTCCCCTGTCCCCAGGGTCTGGCCGAGCGCACGTAAAGGGAGGCGCCCTTCTAGGGAGGCGTCCAGACCGCTGCTCCCTGGCGGCCAGGATCGCGGCCCCGGCCCACTCTCCCCGGCCCGGTGACCAGACCCCCCTCAGCCCCCCGTCTGTGACAGATGCTGCGTCCTTGAAGAAGGCCTACGAGTTGATCAAATCTGCTAACTTGGGGAAATCGGAGTTCGACCCCTCAGAGAGCTTCAGCCCGGACCTGTTCGTTCTGTGTGCGGAGCAGGCCCTCAAGGTAACAGTTGCCGGGATGCTGCAGGCAGAGGGAGGGCCTCTGGGTGGCAGTGGATGCGGAGGGGCCTGGCAGGAAAGGGGGCTGGAAGCAGGCTGGACCTCTGCTTGAGGCCTGTTCTGAAAGCCGCCCCATGGTGTTTCTGGGAAGGGAGGCCACCCGCTCTGAGGCCGGCGGTCTGCGATCTTCCATGGGTGTTCTCTTGCAGATGGGACAGCCAGAGGTGAGCGAGGACTGCATCCAGATGTACTTCAAGGTGAAGGCGCCCGTCACCCAGTTTCTGGGCCGAGCGCACCTGTGCAGGGCTCAGCTGTGTGCCCCGAAGTCAGCAGAAAACCTGGTGAGAGTCTCCTGTGCCCTCCTCCCATTTCCACCCCCGCTCCAGAACAGCAGGCTAGACCAGGCTTGAAATCATTCCTAGCATACAAGTGTGAAGGAATTCATTTCCAGAGTGGCATGAAACTTGCGCCGTCTCCTGTTCATGCTTTTTGCTCAAGTGTTGGCATCTGATACGTCCTGCGGGACCACTGGACCTTTGCCTCATAGCGTCATGGTCTCTGTGGCATCTGTGCCCGAAGCTGCCCCTAGTGGGCAGAGAAGAGCTGGGGTGGGGCAGGCGTGCCCGAGCACAGGCACTGCAGTTTCTGATGCCCACTCGAGCTGTCTACCACGCCGTCACCTGTGGATACACGGGGAGCACCAGGCCACCCATGAACCCGCCGTGGCATCCGCAGAAGGGGCGATGAGCAGTGGTCAGTGTTTCGGTCTAATTGTGCTTCTTTACGTTGCTTTAGGAGGAATTTGAAAATTGCGTGACTCAGTACATGAAGGCTATAAACTTTGCCAGAGGAGAACCGAGGTAGGCAGAGTTGGACTGGCCTTTTCCACTTGACTGAGTGAAAGACTTCCGAGCCAGAACTTGCCACGTGGGTCTAGTTACATGGACTGTGGGTTTTCCCCTAGTTTGTGGTTTGTGATTTTCATGCACGTGTGACTACTCACTTGTCAGCATGTGGACTAGGCCATGTTCCTGCATAATTCCCTGAGTCACAGCCTCGTCTGCACTGGGCGGTTTAATGGTTTTAGATGGCTGTGAAGAGTCTGTTTTCTGCTGGGCATGGTGGCATGCAGCTATAATGCCAGCTACTGGGGAGGCTGAGGCAGAAGAATCACTTGAACTTGGGAGGCGGAGGTTGCGGTGAGCCCAGGTCGCACCACTGCGCTGCAGCCTGTGTGACGAGCAAAACTCCGGCCGGGCGCGGTGGCTCAAGCCTGTAATCCCAGCACTTTGGGAGGCCGAGGCGCGTGGATCACGAGGTCAAGAGATCGAGACCATCCTGGTCAACATGGTGAAACCCCGTCTCTACTAAAAATACAAAAAATTAGCTGGGCACGGTGGTGCGTGCCTGTAATTCCAGCTACTCGGGAGGCTGAGGCAGGAGAATCGCCTGAACCCGGGAGGTGGAGGTTGTGGTGAGCTGAGAACGCGCCATTGCACTCCAGCCTGGGTAACAAGAGCGAAACTCCGTCTCAAAAAAAGCAAAAAGCAAAAAAAAAAAAAAAGTCTGTTTTCTCCAGGCTCTGCCCCGACCCCCTTGCGTCCCCAGGGTGCCCAGCCCCTTCCCGTTCTTTCCCTGCGGCGCGGCGAACCTCTGCTGCCCTCTGGCGGACGACCTGGCCAAGGCCCGCTGTCCCTGTAGAGGCGACTCCAACACAGGCTTCTTTCTGTTCAGTGCTCTCGGCACAAAACCAAGTATCATGCTTGAAACTGTCCAGCTGGCACAAAACCCGTATTAATGCCACATGTTTGAATAGGACACCATGTTTGGAGGAGACTTAAATGGAAGCTGTGGGTCCCTCGTCCATTCTGCCCATGTAGGCCTGCTTGCCCGCTGGTGGCCTCTCTGGCCCTACCCAGTTGCACGTGCTGGGGATGCAGGCCCAGCCCCACAGATCCTCCCTGCATGGGGACAGGGGACGGGGAGGCCCTGCCTCAAGCCAGAGGTTCTAAGGACAAGGGTGTCTGCGGGGGAGCCACACGGGAGTGGTGAGTGCCGTGGGAGGGAGGCTGTCTGCTCCTGACCGCGGACAGGCCAGGGGGTGACAGAGCTTTGCCAGAGGTCAGGACCACCTTTGGGAAGAGGCCAGGTTCTGTGGAGAGAGAGGGAAGCACTGGCTTGTCCAGGGCCATGACAGTGGGACCGGAGACCCTGAGCCGGACCGTGGGCATGTGGGGGCCCCACTGGGAATTTGGGGAGAGCCACTTAGAGGGAGGAGATGGGTTCTTTTCTGAAGAGACGTGGCACCCCAGGAGACGCAGCAGCTGATGGTGTCCCGGGATGATCCCTCTGCCTCACACAGTGGTGGCCGTCTGGTTGGGACACCTCACACCCCCACTCCTCTCCTGAAAACCTGGAAACAAGATGAGTCCTGTCCCACAGTCACGCGGTGGCTCTAGTAAACTCAGAGGGGTGGGCTTGCCACGGCCACCCTGGTGTCCACCTCCCTCCTCGGCAGTGAGCAGTGCTGGTGCCCATGCCGGCGGGCCCAGGACCCTCAGATACCCAGGCCCTATGGGGCAGAGCCGGCCCTGCTGTGGAGTGGCCCTAGAGTGAGAAGGGCAGATGGGCCCGGGATTCTCTTACTTCAGTCCCTCCAAGGGCTCCCTACTGCCCAGGGAGAGGCCTAGACCCCTGAGAGGGGCCTCTGCTCCCTCCTCCACCCCACCCTCCTCCACTTCACATTCCATGCTGGGGAATAGAAACTTCATTCCCTGGAGGGTCCTTCCTTCTCTTCCATTTGCCTGACCTCCTTTTCCTCCACTACTCTCTTGGCTGCCTCCTAATGTCTTTTAGGTCACAACAGGCATGTAACCTCCTCCAGGAAGCCTTCCTTGATTTCCTCTGTCCTTGCCCATTCTTGTCTGTTCTTTGAGAGCCACAGGAGGCCTTGCTCAGTGGTGTGTTTTCATGGGAGATGGGGGTGGGGGGTGTTTAGTTTGTGGAATGATTGACTGAAGGGGGGCCTTGGTCTGGACTAGGGAGCCTGTGGCCGGGTCATCACCACTGGGACTGCCCGGGAGCCATAGCACGCTGGGCCCAGGGCTGCCCAAGCCTGTCCCAAGGAAGGGCTCTGCGTCCTGGTGCTCCTGCAGGCTGGGCTAAAGCTCCTCACATGGGGCTGCTGCCGTCGCTGGGACAGGACCCGAGGCCCCCTCCTGGGAGGGGCTCTGGGGACACAGCAGCCCCTTGGTTTTGCAGCTCGGGCCGGCTGGGCTCTGACTGCCTCTCCACGTCCTCTGTTGCCTCACAGGTATCACTTTTTGGTGTATAATGCATCAGTCCTCTACTGGCAGATGGTGAGGCCGTTCCTCAAGCCTGGATACCGCCACTGTCTGATCCCCAGCCTTTCCCAAATCGTCAACGTGCTCAGTCAGACTGAGGAGGAAGACAAGGAGTGGCGTGCCGAGCTGATGCTGTGAGTGGGGCTCGCCGTGGCCTCTGTGGCCTCTCAGTGGGCTGCCCGGCCGGCTCTGAGGCCACTGACCCATCTCCCTGGGGGACGGGATTCCACGTCGCTGGGGTGCACGTGTGCGTTCTCTCCCACAGTCACATGTTCTGTGTGTCTTGTCTGAAGATCCTTTCCAAAATCTATAGATGACATTTGCCATGCCCTGGTTATGAGGATATGACAACAGAACAAGACTCATAGCAAAGCAGACGTGAGCCTGTGCCGCCCAGCCTGGCTCACAGTTTTGCAATCTTAGTTCTTAAAATGTTAATGCAGTAGACGTTTTCACAGCATGAAACTGAGCAGAGTGAGTGTATCCGGAGCCCAGGTGGCCCGGCCGGGTCTCAGCCTTGAGGGGCCACCACGTGGGGTGTCAGCAGATGCGCTGTCTCTGCGCCGGGCGATGGAAGGGGGATGGGTCCGAGCTCTCTGTGTCTGCGGAGCTCTCTCTGCAGGCCAGGGGCAGGCCAGGGACGGGCGGATGTGCCCAGCGAGGATCCCAGCTGTGCCAGCTTCAGAGCAGCTCCCCTCAGCCCCGAGCCCAGGGTCTGCAGGTGTTGGTTACCTGCTGGATGGCTGTTTGGGGAACCTTTGAAGAATATGAACACAGATCTTTCGTTTCAAAATGGCCTGGTGCAGCGGTAGCGAGCTGTCCAGCGCCTGCTGCCCGTTCCTGGTGAGCCGTGGGGCCTGGTTCTGGCCGAAGAAGCTGACCCCAGCGTAGCTTTTACAGTTTGTGAAACATAAACTTTGTCACGGTTTAATAAACCGGTTATTAGACAGGAGAAAACAGTTAGGACCGGGCTGAACGGTGACGCGTTTTTATGCTCCAGGGAACTTCTGGAGTGTTACGTGCAAGCCGGAAGGAGGGAGGAGGCTGCCAGGTTCTGCTCCACCGCAGCGCCGTTCATAAAGGCCCACGTGCCGCAGAAATACCGGCAGGTATTCTCCATGATGGTAAGTCGGCGTCTGAGAAATGGAGACAAGAAGTCACTTTCTTAAAAGTCATTGTTCGGGAAACGGTGCATGGAAACCATGTACGAGTTTGCTGAGAGATAGAGAACCTATATGCATACGTGCATGAACAGAGACATGTAAACGTATTAGGAAGAGATAGCGGCGCATCCAACGTGAAGACGCGTATCACTGACGTTGTGAAAACGGTCTTTTGCTGTCATCGTGGCTCTTTGAATAGTTCCTTTGTAACAACTTTGACTTTCTCTAAAGTTAATGGGAAATTCAGAGACAAGTCATTACTACAAGAATTCGTACGTAAGCATTCATCAGCTCTTCATGTTGACACATGGGAAATCAGCTTATGTTGTATCTGAAGAGCTAGATAGAAAACGTAATTAATGAGAAAATAAAATCTAGGCCAAAATCTGAATCTCTGCCTGATTGTTTGAATCCAGACTAATAATCCGTTCCGTTTTATGACAGGTTCGTCACGAACTAATGGACGAGCTTCAGTTAAAGGAAGACATGAAAAACTCCATTAGCCTGTCAGTCGCTTTCTATATTAACATGCTGAAGGCGTAAGTCATGCTGGGAGGGAGAGCAAATACTGTCCAGGGCCCACGAGTCTGGAGTCGCAGTGACCGCACCTGGAGAGCGGGAGCCGGGGAGGCCTCGGGGTGTGGGGATCTGAAGGCCACCCCGATGCCTGGCCCTGCCTCCCTCCCAGCCCTGAGGAAATGCCAGTGAGGCCACAGAAGGGAGAGGGTGGCTTCAAAGCCAAGTGCAGAAAGAGCTTTTAGGAGGAGGAGGTGACCCTCTGACCGACGGGTCATCCCACGTGAGGCTGGGGCCCTGACAGGAGGAGTGAGCAGAGCAGGAATAGTCTGTCGGTCAAATCCTGGCTGCAGTGGGAGAGAGAAATGAGGGAGATCACACCCAGGGAGTAGAGAGGGCCCTTTTGAGAAGCTTCAAAGGACAGCAGGGTGTGCTGTGTAGCTAGAGGGACTTGGGATGGTGAGGATCACAGCCTGTGTGGGTGCTGAGGGGAGTGAGAAGGTCACTGTGTGTGTGGGTGATGGTGGGAGTGAGGAGGTCACTGTGTGTGTGGGTGCTGAGGGGAGTGAGAAGGTCACTGTGTGTGTGGGTGATGGTGGGAGTGAGGAGGTCACTGTGTGTGTGGGTGATGGTGGGAGTGAGGAGGTCACTGTGTGTGTGGGTGCTGAGGGGAGTGAGGAGGTCACTGTGTGTGTGGGTGATGGTGGGAGTGAGGAGGTCACTGTGTGTGTGGGTGATGGTGGGAGTGAGGAGGTCACAGTGTGTGTGGGTGCTGAGGGGAGTGAGGAGGTCACTGTGTGTGTGGGTGCTGAGGGGAGTGAGGAGGTCACTGTGTGTGGGTGCTGAGGGAGTGAGGAGGTCACTGTGTGTGTGGGTGCTGAGGGGAGTGAGGAGGTCACAGTGTGTGTGGGTGCTGAGGGGAGTGAGGAGGTCACTGTGTGTGTGGGTGCTGAGGGGAGTGAGGAGGTCACTGTGTGTGTGGGTGCTGAGGGGAGTGAGAAGGTCACTGTGTGTGGGTGCTGAGGGGAGTGAGGAGGTCACAGTGTGTGTGGGTGCTGAGGGAGTGAGGAGGTCACTGTGTGTGTGGGTGCTGAGGGGAGTGAGGAGGTCACAGCGTCTGTGGGTGCTGAGGGGAGTGAGGAGGTCACAGTGTGTGTGGGTGCTGAGGGGAGTGAGGAGGTCACAGTGTGTGTGGGTGCTGAGGGGAGTGAGGAGTTCACAGCGTCTGTGGGTGCTGAGGGGAGTGAGGAGGTCACAGTGTGTGTGGGTGCTGAGGGGAGTGAGGAGGTCACAGCGTCTGTGGGTGCTGAGGGAGTGAGGAGGTCACAGCGTCTGTGGATGCTGAGGGGAGTGAGGAGGTCACTGTGTGTGTGGGTGCTGAGGGGAGTGAGGAGGTCACTGTGTGTGTGGGTGCTGAGGGGAGCGAGGAGGTCACAGCGTCTGTGGGTGCTGAGGGGAGTGAGGAGGTCACAGTGTGTGTGGGTGCTGAGGGGAGTGAGGAGGTCACTGTGTGTGTGAGTGCTGAGGGGAGTGAGGAGGTCACAGCGTCTGTGGGTGCTGAGGGGAGTGAGGAGGTCACAGTGTGTGTGGGTGCTGAGGGGAGTGAGGAGGTCACTGTGTGTGTGGGTGCTGAGGGGAGTGAGGAGGTCACTGTGTGTGTGGGTGCTGAGGGGAGTGAGGAGGTCACAGCGTCTGGGTGCTGAGGGGAGTGAGGAGGTCACAGTGTGTGTGGGTGCTGAGGGGAGTGAGGAGGTCACTGTGTGTGTGGGTGCTGATGGGAGTGAGGAGGTCACAGTGTGTGTGGGTGCTGAGGGGAGTGAGGAGGTCACAGTGTGTGTGGGTGCTGAGGGGAGTGAGGAGGTCACTGTGTGTGTGGGTGCTGAGGGGAGTGAGGAGGTCACTGTGTGTGTGGGTGCTGAGGGGAGTGAGGAGGTCACAGTGTGTGTGGGTGCTGAGGGAGTGAGGAGGTCACAGTGTGTGTGGGTGCTGAGGGGAGTGAGGAGGTCACTGTGTGTGTGGGTGCTGAGGGGAGTGAGAAGGTCACTGTGTGTGTGGGTGCTGAGGGGAGTGAGGAGGTCACAGTGTGTGTGGGTGCTGAGGGAGTGAGGAGGTCACAGTGTGTGTGGGTGCTGAGGGGAGTGAGGAGGTCACAGTGTGTGTGGGTGCTGAGGGGAGTGAGGAGGTCACAGTGTGTGTGGGTGCTGAGGGGAGTGAGGAGGTCACAGTGTGTGTGGGTGCTGAGGGCTGTTAGGAAATCCGAGCTGTTTGTTTTTTGTGGGCAGTGTCCCTGTTAGAGAGCCATACTGGCCCCAGTTCTGTCACTGTTGAACAGAGAGAGGGCTCCCATATGGGTGCTTGCTCTAGCGCAGGGTCTGGGCACGTCTCACCCGAGGATGTTCATTTCCGGCCTTGTAGGAAGAAGGACCAGAAGGGGTGAAAAGTTATCTTAGAAATTTAAGGAAGAGAAAGCAGGAGGGGTTAGTTTAGGTCTCCTGTTAAGTGGGAAACAGAATTTTATAGACGTGGAGTTTCTCTTTGGAGAATTTGAATGAATCTGACAAGATCTTTGGTCAATTAGCCTCTGGATTATTTCTAGAAAACAGGAGCAAAATGATTTACCGGAAGACGTCAGCGTCATTCTGAGAAAGGCCTATACACACTTGGGCCGTTTCAACCACCGCCGCTCTCCTTCCCTCAGAGAAGAAAAGTACGTGTCTTTGTGTTTCAATATCACATCTTCATAATCAGTGTACAAACATGTGAAAAAGTGTGAAACTTAGCGACTAGAACCGCCTTCGGAAAAGCCAGCCATCGTGGGGGTTGTTAGTGCATCTTTTCTGGGTTTTTATGGCCTGAGGTTTGGACTGTTTTGCGGACACTTTCATAGCCGACTTTTTACCGTGGATATCACAGGCACGTGCGCGCTTAGGTTACTGCGGTGCCTCTCGGCACTGGTGGTTGCGTGGTGTGTTGTGGGTGGGAGAACCCAGGTTTCTCTGGAGCCTTTTTCAGGCTGCTTGTTTGGATTCTGTGCCTTCCCGAATCCTCCGGGCACTTTGAGAGTTCAGGATAAGTCCTGGAAGCCGGAAGCTGAGCCCGAGGCTTTCAGAAGCACTTGGAAAACACTGGCAGGTTGCCTTCGTGGGCTCGGGGTGGGTGGGGGTTTGTCCTTTGTCCCTGGAGCGATTTTCTCACCTCCTCAGTAGCACTGTGTATATTTTCAAGAGAATGGGGAACAAGTAAAGCTTGTTGGTATGGGAGGCTGAAATACCTGTTTGGTTTTATGGTGGCCTTGGGAAACTAAGAGAGAAGACGTATTAGTTCTCTGTGTCTGTGTGACAAATACCCACAAACTTCACAGCTTGAAACAACACAAGTCCGTGACCTCGCTGTGTCTGCGGGACGGGAACCCGGGCGTGGGTCCGTGACCTCGCCGTGTCTGCAGGATGGGAACGCGGCTGCAGAAGCAGCCACAGAGTTGACTGGTCTGGGGTCTCTTCTCAAGGCTGGGCTAGGGAAGGGGCCCCCAAACTCATTGGGGTGTTGGCAGGACTCTTCTTGTGAGTCCAGGCCCTGCCCCTGGCATGACCGCTCGCTTCCTCAGTGCCAGCAAGGGACAGCCAGCTGGTGCGCCAGACACTAGAACATTTGTGGTCTCATCAGGGAGGGTGGCACTCACCCAACACCGAGATCTCCACTGCTAGCTGCAGGCTCCTTGAGGGAGGGGCCACAGGACTGCGGCTCAGCTGGAAGGGCGTGGGGCCAGCCCTCTGATAGGTCTGTTTTCGGGATGGGTATGAGTGCACGTGTACATGGGGATGTGTGTGATACGTTGTTCTGGAAGGAGTTCACGTCTTCCGTCAGACCCTCCAAGGTGTAACGGAAGTCCGGCCAAGCTTCCCCTTCCGTGGCCGGGTGCTCCCAGGAGGGTTCTCGGGACCAGTGGAAATAGCCCTGCTCTGAGCTCTGTCCACAGGCGGGATCCTCGGGCACCTTTATGGATTCTCTCCTCCTGACCTGCCCAGCAGGCCTGTGCACTGGAGCTCGGGTAGGATGGAGAGGCCCGGCCTGCCAGGACCTGAGAGGGTCCAGCAACTGAGCAGGGGGAGGAGGTGAGCAAGGACAAGCCCACCCCAAAGGCAGCCCAGGACTGCAGGGAGGATGGCCACACCTCATTGAGGGCCAGCTTGGGTCACTGCCAGCGGCCACCAATTGTATTCCTGGTAAGACTGTGATAACTCCCAGGAAAGGACAGAAGACATGTGGATGTGCTCCTGGTGACATTCAGCAATGTCTGGAGACGCCATGGGTGGCAGCTACAGGCACTCTTCATCTAGTGGGCCTTCATCATGGGTGGCAAGGCGGCTGGTGGACAGGTTCCTCCTGGCTCAGAGGGGTCCAGGCGACACACCCTGGCCTAATCTCTACCCCAGGAGCACGCTCGTGATCCCTGAGCTCCACAGCAAGCCTTCAAGTGGAGTGCTGAGCATACCCTGTGTGCTTTTTTGAAGTGGTCTTCGGCACTGTGGGTCCTTTGCATGTTGATATTTCTCAGCCTGTCCATTTCTACAAAGACCCTGATTGGTGACTGCACCTGTAATTGGTGATGCTCCCACGGGCTTGTCGCCACTCACCGTGCATCCGGTCGAAAAGCAAAGGAAGGAAAAGCAGGCACAGCTGTGGCCCCAGGCTCTGTGTGGGAAGGAGGGAGGCCCAGGCTCTGTGTGGGGAGTGTGGGGAGTCCCAGGCTCTGTGTGGGGAGTGTGGGGAGTCCCAGGCTCTGTGTGGGGAGTGTGGGGAGTCCCAGGCTCTGTGTACAGAGTGTGAGGAGCCCCAGGCTCTGTGTGGGGAGTGTGGGGAGCCCCAGGCTCTGTGTGGGGAGTGTGGGGAGTCCCAGGCTCTGTGTGGGGAGTGTGGGGAGTCCCAGGCTCTGTGTGGGGAGTGTGGGGAGCCCCAGGCACTGTGTGGGGAGTGTGGGGAGCCCAGGTTCTGTGTGGGGAGGAGGGAGCTCCAGGCTCTGTGTGGGGACTGTGGGGAGCCCAGGCTCTGTGTGGGGAGGAGGGAGCTCCAGGTTCTGTGTGTGGGGCCCCAGGCTCTGTGTGGGGAGCAGGGTGGCCCAGGCTCTATGGGGGGTGGGTGTGGGGAGGCTCCTGCCTCTTCCCTGCAAGGCCTCTGTCCTCTTGAGCTGCAGATGTGGGTCTGAGTGGCTGTGCAAGGCAGTGGGTATGATGATCCCTGAAGTAGCCCCTGTGCCTGCCCTGGGGTCTGCATGTAACCTGAAGGCCTGGAGTGAGAGGAACAGAGCATCCAGCAGGGACGCGGTGGCCCCTGGTGGCCTCCACAGCTGTGCTGGCCCTGGGAGACTGCTGGGCTCCAATGCTATAGCCTCAAGCCCAGCTGGACCTCACAGCAGGGTTTCTGTTCTAATTCGTTACATTCATTTCTTATCCTGCCTTATTTCCTGCCTCTGGTTGAACGGGGACGTGCCCGGGACTGAGGTGGTGCTGGCCGGTTTCTTTGTTTGCAGAATGCTTCTGCTTTTTGAATTGGCTCGTTTTTCCTTGACCTTGAAGTGCACGGAGATCTCCTCTGACTGCCTCTCAGACCTGAAGAAGATGGAAAGCGTGGTAAGTGGCCTCATGACACTGTTGGCAGGGGGTGCGGGGGCCACTCACCGTGCATCCGGTCGAAAAGCAAAGGAAGGAAAAGCAGGCACAGCTGTGGCCCCAGAGCCCCCGTCGGTGTGGTCAGCCCACTGCCGTCTTTCTGGCCTGCGTTTCGCACGGCTGCGGTGAGATGGTTTTTCAATTTTGCACCTGCCCATTTCTCTTTACCTTTACTGTGGCCACTGGTCCACAGTGGCCACAGTTGTTTCTAGCGCCCACTTTGCGGGCGGCATAAACTTTCCTAATGCTAGTGACCCCGGCCCTCCACCAGTCCCGTCACTGGACGTGCAGACCTCGTCGGCAGGGCCTCACGTGCTGCAGTTGTGACCTGCAGGTGCCAACAGTGTGAAAATGCTCAGGTGTTCTGAGACAGGCCACGTCCACGTCCCACTTATGGCTGTATAGTGCTGCGATTGTATCTTCTTACTGTGGGTCATTGTAAATATCTTACTGTGCCTAACTGACGAATTGAACTTTATCACAGGGATTTATGTTGAGAAAAGCCGCAGTATCCGTCGGGTTTCAGGCCTCCCCGGGGTTGGGAGTCTTGGAACGTCCCCTCTCAGAGAAGGCCGGGCTGCTGGATAATTTTTTGCTTATTACGTGAAGGGCTGCAGTGAACATGTTGTGCCTAAAACATTTTTCTGCATTTAGGATTTTTCCCTAAGCTGAGTGCATCTACACAGAATGACTAGGGAATTTTCACTTTTAATATTTTAAGAATACATGTTACAGTTCTGCCCCCCAGAAAAAGCTTCACATGAACAAAAGTGTGTAAGACTGTACACATCAAGTGTGCTGCTTCTTGAGGGAACTGTGACGGGGCTCGTTCCCAGACAGGGCTTTCTTTACTTACCAGGGTGGTTTCAGTATCGTGCACCACACTGAGCAAACTGTCGATTTACACATGGAGTGTGCAGAGGGGACCCTCGGATCCGCAGCCATGTGCTGGGGCCTCCCTCGTGCTGTCTTCCTTGAGTGGAGTGTGCAGAGGGGGACCCTCGGATCCGCAGCCATGTGCTGGGGCCTCCCTCGTGCTGTCTTCCTTGAGTGGAGCGTGCAGAGGGGACCCTCGGATCCGCAGCCATGTGCTGGGGCCTCCTTCGTGCTGTCTTCCTTGAGTGGAGCGTGCAGAGGGGGACCCTCGGATCCGCAGCCATGTGCTGGGGCTGCCCTTGGAGGGACTGCCCAGGTGGCGGAGGTCAGGGTGCAGGTGGGAAGCGTGGTCAAGGCTGGAAACAGCAGGCCACGTGGCACGGAGGATGGGCACAGCGTGGGAGGGGCTCCTGTGTTTGACGCCCTTTGATGGGTTCTGTGGACCCCATTTCCATCTTCTGGCTTTCCATGGCACAGTGGCCCCAACTTAGAATAACTGTGGGACACCTGGGTCCAGCCCTACTGCCTCCTTCCTTCAGCTCCCTGAGCCTCAGGGTTTGTCCCTGCAAAATGGCAGCGTAACAGGCCCCATCTCTGAGGGCCGCTGTGGAGCGGGAAGCCATGTTTTGTGCATCCCAGGTTGAGGCTCCCGGGCAGGTGCCTGCTGCCGTGGGGTTGCTGGTAGAGAGACTCCTGTGGCCTAGCTCTGCCCCCACCGCCTGTGGCCCCTGCAGAGCGTGACCCCACGTTGAGGACACTCTCCTGGCCCTTTGCCTGGCCGGCCTCTGCCTGTCCATCCCTCAGGCCCCAGCCCCCGTTACTCCTGGCTGACCGCTGGTCGAAAGCGACCCCCCATTAGGCATTCAGTATCTCAGGAGACTGATTTTGTAAAAGCTCACTAATGTTAAGGATATGAATGGTTTTTAATTTTGAAGCCTGATGCATTTTTAAAGACTAGCCACTGTCACACATTTCACAATTGCTTGAGCAAATGGTGGAAATGGTTTCACCGGGCAGACGCCCTGACCTGTGGGACCGTGTGAAGAGCTTTGAGATCCATGACCACGTGGGAAGCACGGAGCTCTTTCTCTGACCTCCGTGAAGCCAGGCACAGCTTCCTCAGTGACGTGGGGGTTGGCAGCCTGTGGACAGGCCGGGCCCAGGATGGCGGCCTCCTGTGCTCTCCATGCTGGCTGGTGCCGAGCCCCAGACATGCAGGACCCTGGTGCAGCCATCCCCAGTGCCGTAGGCATGGCTCAGTCCTCGTGGACGTCTGCTGCCAAGGACCTGCTCCTCAGGACGGAGGCGTCTGTGCTATGAAGATGCTGCTCTGTCAGTGCCTGAGCTCACAGACCAGAAGTCCTGTACCCCTCAAGTGGGTTCGGGGCCCCCGTAGCCTTACAGAAGCTCCCAGCAGGTCCGTCCTCCAGGCTTCTGTGCAGCCCAGGGCCACCAAGCAGCCTGACCGAGGCCTGGGTGCCAAGTGTTGGGGGCCAGGACGACGCCCCTGAAAAGGGAAAATTGGGGCCCTCCCTGTCACTCTCGGCTGGTGGGGCCTGTGGACAGGCGGGGAGTCGGTGTAGCTGAAAACACGTGGCCTCCTCACTTCCACCTCTGCGCCGCCGGCGCCTTCCTGTCACCCTTGATCGTGTGAAACTTCCACCCAGTTATATTTTAAATGGCCCTTGAAGGTAGTGAATGTGCGGGCACTTCCCTTCCTAATCACTCATCTTTTCAAAACCGTTTGTATCTGCAGGGTCCCGGGAAGCTGATTGAAATTGAGTGTCTGGAGTGTGAATCAGAAGCTTTGAGACTTGAGAGTGAAATGAAGGTGTACCTCCGAGCAGCTGTGGAGGTGGGTCCTCACGCAGGAGCCACACGCCTGGCGTTGTTTTGCAGATTCCTGGAACTTGGTGCCAGTTGGGTTTGTGCCAGGTTTGAGGGTGCCGGGACATGGCCTGGACCCTGCTCCTGGCCGCACCCTGCCTCCCATGACAGCCGCTGTGAGTCCACCCTCCATTGCCACCCTTCCTTTCCCGCACACGGGGCCCACATGCCTCCCTGGTGGGTTGGAGTCGTGCAGATGGGATGTGACTCCCTCCAACCCTCCTCCTGCCACCCCTGCAGAGCTGCCCCCCCTTTGTGTGGTGACGCCAGCCTGGGAGTATGGGGTCGCGTCCCCACAAGGGCTTCTTTTAGCCTTACTTGAGTCTGGGAAAGTGTCCTAATGGTGAGGGGACAAAAGTCACTGCTGGCCCTGGCGTCAGCTGCCAATTACAGGCACGTGAGCCTGACCCACCTCTGTCAGCTGCCAATTACAGGCACGTGAGCCTGACCCACCTCCATGCTGCTGTCTGCAATGACAGGCTCTAGAACAGCAGCCACTGCCAGGAAAGGAACTGGGAATTATTTCAGATTCCTCCTCAGTAAGAATTTCCCTGTTAAAAGATGAACAAAAACCTGACAGAATGGTGGCACACAGCCCTGACGTGCCGCCACAGCGAGCACCACAGGATCGGCCCAGGAGCCCTCGGGCCCGGTCAGCCAGGCCGTGCGAGGGGGCACAGAGCAGCCGGGGGTGTGACGGTCAGTGCTGGAGGTGCCGTGGCGGGGGATGAACAGGGTGGCATGGAGGCCTTCCCCACCCCCACAGTGTACGTACCCGTCCTCAGCCTGCCCTGCCTGGCCCGGGTGTTCCGGCCCGGTGGGTGCCAACGCTCCTGGGGGCCTGCTCCTTGGGTCCCTCCGCAGGGCCGAGCATCTCGAAGGAGGTTTTAGACTGCTGCTGTGTGCCGGTGCTGCGTGTGTGGCAGGCACTTAACGGGTGTTCGTTTAAGGAATGATTTCCAGACGACACTTTGGCTGCTGCACCTTGTCTGAAAGTGCACAGAGGCTGCCATGGCTGCGGCACTGTGGGCTGCACAGCTCCTCCCCCAGCTCACCTGCTGAGGGTCTCAGAGGGCCGGCCCTGGCGTGGGAGGCTTTGGGACCCAGCAGCCAAGTGGCAGGATGGGGTTGTGAGTTGCAGGCTCTACCCTAACCTGGGGCAGTGTGAGGGTGAGGCCCCCGTGGCAGCCACAGGCTGTGGAGATGTGGCCAAGTGAGCACAGGACAGACAGGTGGCCCAGCAGGGCTTGCGGGAGGCGGGAACGTGAGTGAGGAGGCTGGTTCCATTGTCCTGAAATCCCGGCCTGAGCCTTTGTGCTGGGAAAGGCACGTGTAGCAGAGACTGCTGCAGAGGCCCCAAGAAAGTGACGAGGTTGGGAAGGGAGCAGGAAGGGAGCAGTCCCTGCTGACTCCACACAAGGAAGGCGCACGCAGCCGCCATGTGCGGGCACCACCGAGCCTCCTGTGTGTAATGTCTTGTGAGACACCCACGTCCTCCTAGAAAGGGTCCCTCTGGCCATTTTCACAGACAGGCTCAAGCACGGCCCCACGCAGGGTGATAGATTTAGGGCCTGAGTTCTCAGCCTGCCCTGGCTCTGTGTGCCGCCCCAGCCCGGCAGCTCGAGGCAGCACCCGCAGAATCGCCCATGTCCCCTTCGCAGGCCCAGCTGGATATTATACAGAGACTGGACATCGCGCTGCAGCGAGCCGTCCGCCTGGGCGACCCCCGGGTGATCCATGTGGTGTGTGCCACGCAGTGGAACACCTGCCTGCCCCTGCTGCAGCACAACCTGCGGCACCACCTGAGGAAGCCACTGGCCAATGTCGCGGAGGTGCTGGAGAAGGTGGACAGGTGGGGACGCCTGCGCTGTGTTGTCCGCAGAGGGTGGCCTGTGGGAGGAGACAGCGGAGGTGCTGGAGAAGGCGGACAGGTGGGGGCGCCTGTACTGTGTTGTCCTCAGAGGGTGGCCAGTGGGAGGAGACAGCGGAGGTGCTGGAGAAGGCGGACAGGTGGGGACGCCTGTGCTGTGTTGTCCACAGAGGGTGGCCAGTGGGAGGAGACAGCGGAGGTGCTGGAGAAGGCAGACAGGTGGGGACGCCTGCGCTGTGTTGTCCGCAGAGGGTGGCCTGTGGGAGGAGACAGCGGAGGTGCTGGAGAAGGCGGACAGGTGGGGACGCCTGCGCTGTGTTGTCCGCAGAGGGTGGCCTGTGGGAGGAGACAGCGGAGGTGCTGGAGAAGGCGGACAGGTGGGGACGCCTGCGCTGTGTTGTCCGCAGAGGGTGGCCTGTGGGAGGAGACAGCGGAGGTGCTGGAGAAGGCGGACAGGTGGGGACGCCTGCGCTGTGTTGTCCGCAGAGGGTGGCCTGCGGGAGGAGACAGCGGAGGTGCTGGAGAAGGCGGACAGGTGGGGACGCCTGCGCTGTGTTGTCCACAGAGGGTGGCCTGTGGGAGGAGACAGTGGAGGTGCTGGAGAAGGCGGACAGGTGGGGGCGCCTGTATTGTGTTGTTCACAGAGGGTGGCCAGTGGGAGGAGACAGCGGAGGTGCTGGAGAAGGCGGACAGGTGGGGGCGCCTGCGCTGTGTTGTTCACAGAGGGTGGCCAGTGGGAGGAGACAGCAGAGGTGCTGGAGAAGGCGGACAGGTGGGGGCGCCTATACTGTGTTGTCTGCAGAGGGTGGCCTGTGGGAGGAGATGGGGGAGGAGGAGGAGAAGGTGGTCCAGGCCCCCTTGCCATGACAGTGCCACAAGAGGCAAACTCCCCCCATCCTCAATAAGGGCCACCCCCTGTTCCTACTCTCGGCCAGGCATGCCGAGTCATTTGTGGTGCATTGGTGGGGCCAGAGGAACAAGCAGGCTCAGCCCTACCTCACAGTGTCTGTGCCCCTGAAGCCTCCATGGAAGGGGGCCTGTCTTGGCCACAGAGGCCGGGAGTGGGGGCTTATTGTGGCTCCGTGGGACTTGAGCCATCCTGGGTGAGATGGGAGTGCTCAGAGGACCTACCATATGGGAGGAGCATGGTGTGGCCTCAGGAGTGACAGGAACACAGGGGTCAGCGTGGCGGCACATCAGGGTGGGCCATGGCGGGCAGGAGGCAGGTACCGAGGGTGGGAGTCCAGAGAGACATGGTCCTAGGTGAGACATACTTGGCTGAGAGGCCTGGGATGTCCCATGAGAGGGGAACAGGCAGAGAGGAAGGAGAGGAGGAAGGGCAAGGTCACCGAGGGGACGTGGGTTCCTGGCCAGGGAGGTGGAGGGGCTGCTGTGGGGGTGGGGGGCTCGCGCAGGAGGAGAGCAGGGATGCGGGGAGCAGAGGAGAGAGTGTGTGGAGGGAGGGGTTGCCCAGGAAAGTGGGGGTGTCCGCTTTGGGAAGAGGCCCTGGGGGCGTCCATGGACACCTTCAGCAGCTCTGACAAATAGGGCTGGGCTTGGTTGTCCCAGGGAGGAGAGGGAGGCGTGGTCAGTCCCGGCAGAGACAGGGTGACCTGGGCTTTCCTGCTGGGCACTTGTGGATCCGTTCTGTACCAAGCCTCACATCTCTCCTCCCATCATGAGATAGTTACAATCTAAAGTCATTTCTTCCTGCTGTCCTCAGTTTCTCCTCTGGAATTCCACTCGGGTGTGGGACCCGCTGCTGTGCGTCCTTCACCTCACTCACGCGCTTCCTCCTTCTCCTGGACCCTCATTCTCTGCCTCTCCCTCCCTCCTTGTCTTCCTCTGTCTCCATCTCCCCCCCAGCCCAATCGATCTCTCTTCCAAGGAGACCTGGAAGTCTAGCGCGTGCCGTGATGGGAAGTGGGGGTTGGGCACGCCTCACTCTCCTCTCCTCTCCTGCCTTTGGGATTCTCCTGAGACGATGGAGCTGAGTCCTTACCAACGAGACACAGGTTCCAACCTGACTCTGGCGCCACATGGCACGTAGCTGGCCCTGAAAGAAATACAAGAATTTTACCCCAAAATATGTTCCTTCGACATGGTTTGGAGTGGCCCAGCCAAGCCACCTCTCGTGGGGAAATGTATGTCTGTAGAGAGTCCCCTTCCCTCCCAGGCCTCTTCCCAATCCCGCAGTGATGTAACTGCGGTGTGACACCGTCTCAGGTCTGCTGAGACGCCTTCGCCATCCGTCCTGTCCGAAGCCCCGGCCTGGAGCCTTCCTCCACAGAACGGGAACCCCCCGACTTCCACAACCACCCTATCTGAACCCGAACGTTTCCGTCCGCCGGCTTCAACTCTTTAGATAATGGCTCAACCAGTCGCCAGCAGGAAATGTTGGAATCCGCCTGTGACGTGGAAGCAGCCGCAGTCCCTGCAAGCTTTCCTGCCTTTCCCGACCCAACCGGTGGACACGTGACAGGCAGCGATGCTGTCTCCTGCCTCCCTGAAGCTGTGCTGACTGCCTTGGACACATGTTCTCAGGACCTCCTGGCCAGCGTCCTCACTCGGCTCAGAAGACGTGACTTGAGAGAGACAGTTCAGACCAGTCTTCCATCGCGCTCTTTCCCTTTCTCCCTCTGCATGGAGCTGCCAGGAGGCTCTTGCCAGGTCGCAGCAGGTTTCCTCCTGCTGCACTTTTACCTCACAGATTCTCTTTCTTATACTGTTTAATGACTATTTCTCATTTCCAAAGTACCCTGTTAGCTTATGTGTATATTTGCCTGATTTTAAAAAATAACTTCTACTGGTGAAATGGCTACGCAGTCTGGGGCATGTACATACGCTGGGGTTTGGTGTCTTGTGCTGAGAAAGAATTCAGGACACAGACACCTGTGGGTGGGTTAAGGAGAGAGGAGAGCAGCTCCTTGAGAGGGAGGGAGAGAGAGAACCAGACATCTGAAAACGGGGGGAGGCGACAGACCCCCCTCCCAGATTTTCTAGGCAGCTGGAGGAGGCGGTGTCTGATTTACGCACGGCTCACGGATTGGCTCGATCAGGTATAATGTTTACACTGCGGCAGGGAAGGCTGGGCGTCCTACCCTAATCTTAGGCAAATGCTTTCCAGCTGGTCTGTGCCATGTTGTCGCTCCTTACCGTGAGAGAAGGGAAGACGGAGTCGCCGTCTCGGGCATGATTGGCAGCTGCCGGCATCTGTCCTAGCGCGATTCCACAGGCGGCTGTTTGTTAGAAAGGAAATGCTTTGGAGCTGCTTTTCATTAGAGAAAAGCCTCGCCGACGACTCCCACGCCCTTGCTAGGTGCCTAAGTAATTTCTTCTTAACTCCTATATCAGCAGTATCATTGCAATAAAAAGTGCACGTTAAACATTCAGCTTGACAAACACACGCACCGCTTCGCCAGGAGCCCCTTCCAGCACCCTGAGAAACTCCCAGGCCCCGCAGTGAAGCCCCCGCTGCCCGGCACGCACTGGTCTGCTTGGTGGTTCCCATTCAGAGCCTGGTGTTTCTGGAAGGGCACCGCGCACTTGCTTGGAGACTGGGTCCTCGGGGCCTGAGGCCTGTGAGATCCGCCTGCGTTGCCCGTGTCAGGAGCTCACTCCTTTTATCCCTGAGTGGTGGTCCCCGGGGTGGATGCTCAGCAATTCCCTCATTCACCCATTGGCGGGTGCTGACTGGGATTAGCCGTAAGGGGCGGCTGTAGGTGCGCTCTGCCGCGGAGGCAGGCATGGCCTGTGCCGCCGTCCCGGGACGCTCTTCCCACTGTCCCAGCAGCTCCGCAGGACCCTGGCTGCTCCACGTCCTCACGGACACTTAGCGCTGGCCGCCGTTTTAGGTTTGGCCGAGCTCATTGGCCCACTGGCCTTTCAAGGTCGATTTTTTACATGGTCCTCGTGGCTCGCGATGAGCGTCTTTTATGAGGTTATCAGCCACTCCTGTATTTTATGAAGTGTCTTTTCAGCATTTTTGATGGTGTAAGAGCTGTGTCATTTGTCTTTCTGTTCCTGAGCTCCCGGAGTTGTTCATGTATGCCTGACACACATCTGGCCGACATGTGTGTCATGAGTATGTTCCCCCCAGCTACAGTTTGCTTTCGCTTTTTCTGAGCAACGCCTGTCATTTTGTGTCCTGCCCAAGAATCACTCACCTTTCGTAAAAACCACAGATTTGGCCGGGCGTGGTGGCTCAAGCCTGTAATCCCAGCACTTTGGGAGGCCGAGGCGGGTGGATCACGAGGTCGGCAGATCGAGACCATCCTGGTCAACATGGTGAAACCCCGTCTCTACTAAAAATTACAAAAAATTAGCTGGGCATGGTGGCGCGCGCCTGTAATCCCAGCTACTCAGGAGGCTGAGGCAGGAGAATTGCCTGAACCCAGGAGGCGGAGGTTGCGGTGAGCCGAGATTGCGCCATTGCACTCCAGCCTGGGTAACAAGAGCGAAACTCCGTCTCAAAAAAAAAAAAAAAAAAAAAAGCCACAGATTCCTGTTTTCCTGTGCATAGCAATTCTTACACTGAGAATTGTAAGAATTCTTATGCTGACACATCACGCCACCTGCCTGATGTCTCTTCAGGACCCTTTCACCCTCTTAAAAGTTACTGGCAGCCAGGCGCAGCGGCTCGTGCCTGCAGTCCCGACTCTGGGAGTCTGAGGCAGGCGGCTCCACTCGCTTGAGCCCAGGAGTTGGAGGGCGCCCTGGACGGCGAGAGCCTGCTGCTGTCGTTTAAAAATACAGAAAATAGGGAGGACCCTGAAGAGCTTTGACCTGAGCGATTAGATGTGTTGATATTTATTGTATTAGACATCAAAGTAGAGAAAGTATTGGATAAGAACACGCACGCGCACGCTTCTGTGGCATCGTAGCCATGGCATGGTGTGCGTGAAGCCTCTGGAACGATCTTTCACATGTACTTGTGAGAAAATGGGAGTGGACGTAGAAAACAATGTCTTAGGACTGTTACGGAAACAGCTTGACCTTGTGGATGCACTGCGAGGGTCCTAGAGACCCCCAGAGTCCCGGACGCTCCTCTGGAGCATTTCTGGTGCCCGTTTTTGCGCTCACTTAAGCAACGCACTGAGGGTGAAGTTTGGTGCATGGTGCCGGGGCAGGGGAGGGTGAGCCTCACCATTTTTCCATCCAGATCTTCCCCTTGTTTCAGAACCATTTGTCAAAAGTACATCCTTTCCCTGAGTCGCGTTGGCAGCTCTGCTGAGTGTCAGCTGAGCTGAGGTCTGTTTCTGGAGCCTCTGACCCGCTCTGTGAGTCGGTCTGTCTGAGGTCAGCTTGCACCACACTCCCGCATCCCTGTAGATCTGTCATAATTTTGACACGAGCAGCGCAAGCCTTCCCGCGTTCTCCTTGAAGGCCGTCTTGGTGACCTAGGGCCTGCGTATTTCCATGGAACTTCGGAAGCGGCTTGCCAGTTGCTAGCGGGGCGGGTGGGAGGTAACCGTGTAATGGGAATGGTAGTGAAGCTGCAAATGAGCTTTGGGAGAAACGGCAGCACCACAGCACCGAGTCTTCCCGCCCTGGCGCTGCCCCACCCTGCACCGGCGCGGGTCCGTGACCTCTCAGCAGCGTTCTGTGGTTTTAGCAGAGTCCATGCCTGTGTTCCATCAAACTCACTCCCAGGTGTTGTGTGGCGCTTGATGCAATCATCTACAGTATCGTCTTTCTACTCTTAAGTTCCTCATTGTTTGTTATATGTAGAAATACAGTTGATATTTATATATTGACCTGATATTCTGTGAGGCCAAATCTGCTTATGAAAGATGCCGCTAGGGCTTTCAGGGCACACGTCCACGCCACCTGCCTGATGTCTCTTTCTTGCCTCTGGCATTGCCTGGGACCTGCCAGAGGGGCTTGTAAGCTGCTGCAGCTGAGCATTGCCCGCCCCTCAACCCCGCTCCTCAGCCCAGTGGGGAGGACCCAGCCCAGCCTCCTCCTGCTCCTCAGCCCAGTGGGAGGACCCAGCCCAGCCTCCTCCTGCTCCTCAGCCCAGTGGGGAGGACCCAGCCCGGCCTCCTCCTGCTCCTCAGCCCAGTGGGAGGACCCAGCCCGGCCTCCTCCTGCTCCTCAGCCCAGTGGGGAGGACCCAGCCCGACCTCCTCCTGCTCCTCAGCCCAGTGGGAGGACCCAGCCCGCTCTCCTCGTGTCAATGGCCCCCCATATAGCAGGAGGACCCAGCCCGCTCTCCTCGTGTCAATGGCCCCCCGTATAGCAGGAGGACCCAGCCCGCTCTCCTCGTGTCAATGGCTCCCCGTATAGCAGGAGGACATCCCTGCTTTTCTAGCATTTTGACTTTTTTCTTTAACTCATGAATGGGGAGTAAATGTTGTCAAGTGTTTCTGTGTGTTATGACAGTCACGTGCCCTCCTACATGTGTTACCACAGTCACGTGCCCTCCTGTGTGTCCATTAGGCTGTCACGTGCTCTCCTGTGTGTCCGTTAGAGCCGTCATGTGCCCTCCAGTGTGTCTGTTACGGTGGTCACGTGCCCTCCTGTGTGTGTTACCGTGGTCACGTGCCCTCCTGTGTGTCCATTAGGCTGTCACGTGCCCTCCTGTGTGTCTGTTAGAGCTATCATGTGCCCTCCAGTGTGTCTGTTACGGTGGTCACGTGCCCTCCTGTGTGTGTTACCATGGTCACATGCCCTCCTGTGTGTCCATTACGCTGTCACGTGCCCTCCTGCGTGTCTGTTAGAGCCGTCATGTGCCCTCCAGTGTGTCTGTTATGGTGGTCACGTGCCCTCCTGTGTGTCCATTACGCTGTCACATGCCCTCCTGTGTGTCTGTTAGAGCTGTCATGTGCCCTCCAGTGTGTCTGTTACGGTGGTCACGTGCCCTCCTGTGTGTCGGTTATGGGGGTCATGTGCCTTCTTCCCTCTTGTTTTGGCAAATCACATGATTGAGTCAGAACCCTGACCCAGCCTTGTGTTCCTGGCGTCGTGCGACCAGCTTTGTTCCCTTGTTTTGTTAGGACTTCTGCAGGTGTGTCCACGATGTCACCGGCCCACATTTGTTGCTTTCTTGGTGCCTTGGTCAGGTTCTGACATCAAGGTTGTGTTGACTTTATGAAATGTATTGGGAAGTGTTTTTCTAAAATTCTTTGCTTTCTGGAGAAATTTATGTCATACTTGAAATTTTTTTCTTTAAATGTTTGATAGAACTCAGCAATGAAGCCACCAGGGCCTGGGGAACTGTCTTGTTCTGTTAGTTTCTGTGAAAAGGTTTTCAGGACTGAGGGACTCGCTGAGACTCAAGTTTGAAGCTCAGGAACTCAGGCCGTTAGCCAGAGGAATAAGCACCTCGCTCCTGGGGGCCCCAGGGCCACCCCACACTCCGGGCTCCTGAGGACGCTGTGGTCTGGACCTTCTCCTCCTGTCTCCTGGCTGTGTGGTCTGACAGGGCAGTGAGAATTCCCGCTGTGACTGGGGGACTCTCTCCTCCCCGTGGCCCCGCCAGTGTGGCTGTGTGTTCTGACGGCAGTGAGAACTCCTGCTGTGACTGGGGGGCTCTCTCCTCCCTGTGGCTCTGCCAGCGTGGCTGTGTGGTCTGACAGGGCAGTGAGAACTCCCGCTGTGACTGGGGGGCTCTCTCCTCCCCGTGGCTCTGCCAGCATGGCTGTGTGGTCTGACGGCAGTGAGAACTCCTGCTGTGACTGGAGGGCTCTCCTCCCTGTGGCTCTGCCAGCGTGGCTGTGTGGTCTGAGAGGGCAGTGAGAATTCCTGCTGTGACTGGTGGGCTCTCTCCTCCCCGTGGCCCTGCCAGCGTGGCTGTGTGGTCTGACGGCAGTGAGAACTCCCGCTGTGACTGGGGGGCTCTCTCTTCCCCGTGGCCCTGCCAGTGTGGCTGTGTGGTCTGACAGGGCAGTGAGAACTCCCGCTGTGACTGAGGGACTCTCTCCTCCCTGTGGCTCTGCCAGCGTGGCTGTGTGGTCTGACAGGGCAGTGAGAACTCCCGCTGTGACTGGGGGGCTCTCTCCTCCCTGTGGACCTGCCAGCCTGGCTGTGCTTGGGTTGTTTTGTTTCACCTCCCTTTGCTTTCCTGTCTCACGCTCCCTGTCTCGAAGTCCATCAGCTGTTACTGGCACAGCGCTGCCTCCGTGCCCCTGCCCACCCCGCTGCCTCCGTGCCCCTGCCCACCCCGCTGCCTCCGTGCCCCCGCCCACCCCGCGTGCCTCTGCGGCCTTCTTACTCGCACTCTGCCTCTTTAGTTGTGCAGTGGGAAGTCATTGTTAAGTGAGTGTCTGTTAGACAGGGCCCGGCTGGGTCCTGCTTTCTTGCTCATTAGAATGCGGTCTTTTGGTGGGGCTCAGCCTCTTTGTCGCCGTCAGCACCTGTTCACTCTGAGTCCGCCGTCCCAGTCCCAACTCCGTCTGCTGCCTCCCTGCACTGCCAGTCTCCTTACCACCTTCTCTGGGGCTCCCTGAATGTTCCTAGAATTCTATTTCATTTCCACTGCTGGCTTCTCAGTTTCTCGACTGTACCTTTTGAAGGAATGGGAGATTTCTCTAGGACTAAGAGCAGGCACCCTTAGCTTAGCACCGTCTGTGTCAAGCCAGCATTGCGCCAGCTTACTTCACAGAGATACAGGCCATAAAACACGGTGACCACACCCCTCACACCCCTGCTGGGCCGTCCTTCGACTTCCCACAGCACAGTGTGAACCTCAGACCCCAGCACGGCTGTGTTGAGAACTGCTTCTCAAGCCTGGGCCTGTCACGCCCGGCATGACAGTTGTCTCGTACACACACAGCCTGCACAAGGCCAGGGCTTCCGGGCACCCCCACACAGCCTGCCTAAGCCAAGGGGGTCCGGGCTCCCCACACAGGCTGCTCTGGCTGCTCTGCATGGCCCCTCCTCTCCAGAGCCAAGCCTCCTTCAAAGCCCTGCACCCCACCCCCTGCTGCCTTGGCTGTGGGAAGCACACCCCGCACTTCGGGAGGTTGTCCCAGGTAGACAGCCAGGCAGTCTTGGGCCAGTGCCTGGGTTTCCTTCTCCCAGGGGCTGCTGTCACAAGCAGGGGAGGTGAGTGGGGAGGAGGTGAGAGCAGGGGAGGTGAGTGGGGAGACCTCCGGGGTCTGTGGGGTCTTCTCTTCTTGTCCCCATTTGTGAGTCCCCAGGGCAGGGACATCACTGGAAGGACGGTGGAAAGCCAGGGTACCAGGCACCAAGCCAACCTTCTCCAGGCCGCCTCCTGGAGGTGCGACCCCAGCCCCTCTGGGCCCCTGATACCACACCACCCCCACAGCCTCATGACGGTGCTCCGCTGCCAAGTGCACATGGAGATGGCGCAGATTGAGGAGGACGAGGACCGGCTGGAGCCTGCCATGGAGCACCTGTGGAAAGCTACGCGCCTGGACAGCCTGGGCCTCTACCAGGACCAGCTCCGGATGGCCTCCACTCGGCTGCGCCTGTGCACCACACTGTACCAGGCCCCCGAGCACGCTGAGGACAAGGCCATCATGGCCATCGAGCAGGTGCTGCCCGGGGGGCGGGGGAGGCCGGGTGCTGCAGCCCCAGTGTGGGGTCCAGGCTGGGCGCTGAGGGGAAGTGCACAGCAAAGAAGCTGCCCAGGGCCACCTGAAGCAAGGAGGCCTGGGACCGAGCTGTCCCTGCTTCTGTGGGCATGAGGCCCACACAGGCCCCTGCCAAAGGCCAGGAGGCTCCAGAAGTGGGAGAAGGTGCTGTGGAAGGCCCAGCAGCTCCTCGCTCATCAGTCTCTGCATTCCACAGGCAAAAAAAGCTACCCCGAAGGATAGCGTCAGGAAGAAGCGGGCCCTCCTGGTGAACGCAGGCCTGGCCTTAGCCCCCGACACCTTTCAGGTTGTGCTGGACAGTGAGAATGAGGCCAAGGGTGAGTGCCACCCTGGGCTCCCCCAGCCTGGAACTGTCCACCTTGGAGTGGCTTTGAGGCTGCCCCAGGGCCTCCCCGGTCCCCATGCTGCTCTGCCACAGCCCCTCGATTTGTGGGGACCATGCTGTGTCCTGTGAAGGTCGGGCCATCCATAGGCTGCGTCCTCTGACCTCGGCCCGCCGGGTCTGGCAAGGCCCAGGGAGGGTCTCCGCAACTGTGGCTGCTGCCTGGCTGCTGGCACGGAATCCACAGGCTCCACCTCTAAGACAACAGGAGCTTGCTCCTCCCAGCCCCAGGCTGGACGTCAAGGCTTGGGCAGGGCTGTTCCTCCTTAGGGCTCTCTCCTTGGCTTGTGGATGCCGTCTTCTCCCTGCATCCTCACAGGGCCGTCCTGCATTTTCCTTTCAATCCTCAGTGTCCACTGGGAAGAACAGGGGCCGGTTCACCTACCTTTGCTCAAAGGCACGGCACCACATTGTCAGCGTGGACAAAGCTGCTGGGCACCTGCGGCGCCTGGGCTATGAAAACGACAAGGAGAGGTGAGTGGGGAGGAGGTCAGAGCAGGGGAGGTGAGTGGGGAGGAGGTCAGAGCAGGGGAGGTGAGTGGGGAGGAGGTCAGAGCAGGGGAGGTGAGTGGGGAGGAGGTCAGAGCAGGGGAGGTGAGTGGGGAGGAGGTCAGAGCAGGGGAGGTGAGTGGGGAGGAGGTCAGAGCAGGGGAGGTGAGTGGGGAGGAGGTCAGAGCAGGGGAGGTGAGTGGGGAGGTGAGAGCGGGAGAGGTGAGTGGGGAGGAGGTCAGAGCAGGGGAGGTGAGCTGGGAGGTCAGAGCAGGGGAGGTAAGTGGGGAGGAGGTCAGAGCAGGGGAGGTGAGTGGGGAGGAGGTCAGAGCAGGGGAGGTGAGCTGGGAGGTCAGAGCAGGGGAGGTAAGTGGGGAGGAGGTCAGAGCAGGGGAGGTGAGTGGGGAGGAGGTCAGAGCAGGGGAGGTGAGTGGGGAGGAGGTCAGAGCAGGGGAGGTGAGTGGGGAGGAGGTCAGAGCAGGGGAGGTGAGTGGGGAGGAGGTCAGAGCAGGGGAGGTGAGTGGGGAGGAGGTGAGAGCAGGGGAGGTGAGTGGGGAGGAGGTCAGAGCAGGGGAGGTGATTGGGGAAGAGGTCAGAGCAGGGGAGGTGAGTGGGGAAGAGGTCAGAGCAGGGGAGGTGAGTGGGGAGGTGAGAGCAGGGGAGGTGAGTGGGGAGGAGGTCAGAGCAGGGGAGGTGAGTGGGGAGGAGGTCAGAGCAGGGGAGGTGAGTGGGGAGGAGGTCAGAGCAGGGGAGGTGAGTGGGGAAGAGGTCAGAGCAGGGGAGGTGAGTGGGGAAGAGGTCAGAGCAGGGGAGGTGAGTGGGGAGGTGAGAGCAGGGGAGGTGAGTGGGGAGGAGGTCAGAGCAGGGGAGGTGAGTGGGGAGGAGGTCAGAGCAGGGGAGGTGAGTGGGGAGGAGGTCAGAGCAGGGGAGGTGAGTGGGGAGGAGGTCAGAGCAGGGGAGGTGAGCTGGGAGGTCAGAGCAGGGGAGGTGAGTGGGGAGGAGGTCAGAGCAGGGGAGGTGAGCTGGGAGGTGAGAGCAGGGGAGGTGAGTGGGGAGGAGGTGAGAGCGGGAGAGGTGAGTGGGGAGGTGAGAGCGGGAGAGGTGAGTGGGGAGGTGAGAGCGGGAGAGGTGAGTGGGGAGGTGAGAGCGGGAGAGGTGAGTGGGGAGGAGGTGAGAGCAGGGGAGGTGAGTGGGGAGGTGGTGAGAGCAGGGGAGGTGAGTGGGGAGGTGGTGAGAGCAGGGGAGGTGAGGGGAGGTGGTGAGAGCGGGAGAGGTGAGTGGGGAGGAGGTGAGAGCAGGGGAGGTGAGGGGAGGTGGTGAGAGCAGGGGAGGTGAGTGGGGAGGAGGTGAGAGCAGGGGCGGTGAGTGGGGAGGAGGTGAGAGCAGGAGAGGTGAGTGGGGACGGGGTCGGAGCAGGAGAGGTGAGTGGGGAGGAGGTCAGAGCCATGCACAGCCCAGCCTGGGGGTCACTCAGCCAGAGAACCAGTGTCTGTGGTGGCCAAGCTGACCCCACATGTGGCCATCTGAGGACACGCCAGGCCACCTCCTCCAGGATGGTGGGAGGAAGCCCCTGCCTAGGGGTCCTGACAGAGGGGACCCCCAGCCTCTGATGATGGCCACAGCCTGTGAGGTGCGCAGCTGCCCTGTCCCTTCTGTCACTTGGAGGGCACGCAGTGCCGGTGACCAGAGCAGGCTGGTTTTGGGTACCAACCCTGCAGTCCGTACCACCCCAGGGAGGTGCCCCATGCACCCCCAGGGAGTGGATTGTGTGGCCTTTCTTCTGGCTACAGGCATGGAGGCACCGCACACAGCTGGCTGGTGGTCAGGCAGAGAGCAGTGCCCGCCCCAGGACATGCCCCCCCAGGCCGTCCCCAGCGTGCGCCGTGCTCCTTTTGCCACCTGTAGACTGCAGAGCCTCAGTGGCTGTTCCTCGGGCAGTCAGCCCAGGTACTTCTAGTTTAGCTGCCACATCTGTCTACTCACTTTTCCCTCGCCGGGTCCTCGGTGAGCAGGATACAGATCTGGGCGGAGCTCGCCAAAGTTGCGCGGAAGCAGGGTGTGTGGGACGTCTGTCGGACGGCGAGCCGCTTCTGCCTCCTGTATGACAGCGTCAAGGTGAAGAAGCTGAGGCTGCGGAGAGGTTCGCACACCCCTGTGAGTGTGTCCCAGGCTGGCTGCGGCCGCCCTCTGTGTGAAGGAAGGGCTGTGGTTCATGCAGTTTCGACGCATGGGGCCTTCACGTGAGAAAGGGTATTGCCATGTTTCAATAGTCACAGTTCCCACTAACCAGGACCACCGGTCACGGGTGGCAGCCACATCTGGCTGCGTCAGCCATGCCACGAGCACCGTCGGTACGTTCCAACTTGTCCCTAGAGGCCTCAGAGGCTCAGGCAGGGGCAGCCACAGCGGTGAGCCGATGCCCATGCGGGGTGCCCAAGGGCAGAGGGCAGCGGCCACAGGCCCAGCGTGGAACAGAACGTGGGTGGGGCAGGCTCCTCACAGTCAGCACCCAGCCCTGGAGAAGCTCCTATCTCAGGGACAGTCAGGACCCAAAGAGACGAGGGAGGGAGGTGACAGAATGGGCACGGAGGCCTGGGAGTCCTGCAGGAGTTGGGGAGGGCACCCCCCGCCAAGAAGGCGGGGGAGGCAGGAGGTGCTTGGAGAGCCACAGGTGCCAAGAGTGTCTGTAGGGATGTGGCCGAGAGCAAGCCCTGGCTGGGAGCCAGCTCCTCCGGCCCCGCCGTGGGCAAGCTGCCCACTTACGGCCCGCCCACCCACCTGGGTGGCTCTACGTGCAGCTGCGAAGAGGCTCAGGCACTCCAAGGTGGACCAGGAATTCTTGTGTTTTCATTTATTTGCTGGAACAAAAACATGGTCCTTACCTGCTGCCGTTTCTCTCAGGGAGGAAGAAGCGAGGTGGGGACGGCTCGGTGCAGGACGCTAGGAGCCAGCCTGAGGTCGTCCTGCAGAGGCAGGTGTCCCCTGACCTTCTGCGGAAGTTCGCAGAGGTGGGGTTCATCAACGCTGAGGTGCGTCACGGAGGGGGGTTCATCAGCACTGGGGTGGGTGGGGGGCTCGTCAGTGCTGAGGTGCATCTTGGAGAGGGGCTCGTCAGTTTTGGGGTGTGTCCCTGCAGCACGGCTCGCTGCAGGGCCGGTGTTGGTGTCCACCTAGCCAACGTGTTAATCCACTGCAGATAGATATTTATCATCATAGAACCTTCTGCTCTTCAAACAAAACGAACACGAGGGAGGGAAGGCTTCCTGGATTCCTGGAAGATTTTCTAGGAGAAAAATATAAACCAAAATGTGCAGGGGTGTAAATTTCTCTTGGGGACCATTTCTGAGTGGTGAATCTGCAGTTGCGGGTGAGACATGGCAATTGCCACTGGGCTGAGGGATGGTACCTTGGCGTTCGCTGCAGAAGCACTTTGAATGGGGTGTGATGTCCAGGGCCCCTGCCGTGGGTCCGCCAGGCCTCTTCCTCCCACGGGGCACAGAGAACCCCCTGGCTCACCCTGCCCAAAGTCAGCAGGTAGGCAGCGGCAGAGCTAGATCCAAACCCAGCCCTGGGACCTTGGGTCTGAGCTCGCAGCCACTGTACAATGCCAACATGTGTGACCTTTGTGACACTGTGTGACTCCAGAGTTTGCATAGCCACTCTTGGCTGGGTTTCTGTGGATTTACTCAGTGGGTGCGTGGCACTCAGCCTCGGAGGCCGGCACGCCTGCTGATTCATTCAGTACATCCACTGAGTGGCTCCCAAGGGCCAGGCCCACGCCCTCAGCTGGGGTCACAGAGGGAAGCGGCACAGACCCCGCTGCTCAGGGAGCCAGAGCCCAGAAGGCGGAACAAGAGCCAGACCGAGCCAGAGCCCAGATGGCGGAACGAGAGCCAGACCGATCCAGAGCCCAGATGGCGGAACCAGAGCCAGACCGAGCCAGAGCCCAGAAGGCGGAACCAGAGCCAGACCGAGCCAGAGCCCAGAAGGCGGAACCAGAGCCAGACCGAGCCAGAGCCCAGAAGGCGGAACCAGAACCAGACCGAGCCAGAGCCCAGATGGCGGAACCAGAGCCAGTGGAGGCCGTGGGGCTGCGGGGGGTGTTCAGCCACACTCCAGTGGCCTGTGCAGACCCTAGTTCTCAAGCATCTAAAATGTGATGATGCAGGGGAGGCGCGGGTGCTGGCCAGGGTCTGCTGACGCCAGGAAGCCACGGCGGCTCCTTCAGTCCACTGGGGTGTTCGGTGCTTTGGAAGGAGCCTTCTCTTCCCCGCCCCCACTGTGATGGTGGAGAGTCTATGAGGGCCTGGCGTTAGTCCCTGGAGTGGCTGTCAGGCAGGCCCAGCTTGCAAAGGGCTCACCAGATGAGTCTCCCCGGCTGTGCTCGGCCCTCTGCAAATCACAGCTAAGGGAAGGGTACGTGTGTTCCCCATCTGGTGCTGGGCCGGTGCTCCGACCACAGTCTCTCCCACTGCACGCATCTCTTGCAGGCCACTGTCCATCTGCTGCGCTCAGAAGGTGTAGAGCTGAATGACCGGGCCGTCCCCCCCGAAGACCTGAGCCAGCACCCAGCTGGCTACGTGCCTGAGCCCCCAGAGGAGAATGCTGAGTGGATTACATACAGGTGGGCAGCGGCCGCGGCCTTGAGCACTGCCTGGGACACGGGTCAGAGTGTCCTCTGCACTGAGGCTGGCATGGGGACAGACACCCTTTGCATTCCTAAGGACACAGCCTTCTCCCGTGGGGAAGGTGTCCATTGTCACATAAATGACCAAGACCGGGAAAGAGGAAATGGGGTGAGGAAATGGAGTAATGGCATGACGGATGACCTCACCTGTTTTTAGCAGTGTTCCCTGGTGGGGCCCCAGCTGTGGTTATTACCACTAGTGAAAGTTCACGGGCGCCTTTCCCGGCACTCGGGTGAAAGTTCACGGGCGCCTTTCCCGGCACTCGGGTGAAAGTTCACGGGCGCCTTTCCCAGGGTGCTCGAGTGAAAGTTCACGGGCGCCTTTCCCGGGGTGCTTGAGTGAAAGTCCACGGGCGCCTTTCCCGGGGCACCTGAGTGAAAGTTCACGGGCGCCTTTCCCGGGGCACCTGAGTGAAAGTTCACAGGCGCCTTTCCCGGCACTCGGGTGAAAATTCACAGGCACCGTTCCCGGGCACTCAGGTGAAAGTTCACGGGCGCCTTTCCCGGCACTCGAGTGTCAGACTTGCTCACTGTCATCAGATTCTCTCAAGATGTGTGAGAGCTGCTTTCACGGGGAGGTGGTGTTCGTGGTGGAAAATAGAAGGGGCAGCTTCTGTATTTGCGCAGAGGAAAAGCCATGCTCTCCCTCCTATTGTGGGAAGAGCCTCAAAAACTCCTTGTGTATCAATAAGAAATATTTGTTTGTATAGAATATCTCATAGGATTTGCGTACATGAGGTTCCAAGTGAAACAATCATGAAATCGGAGTGCTTTCCTAATGGTGATGGTTTTTACCTATTTTTCATCTAAAATTAAATATTTTAAACTAGTTTTTACATTGGCAGTAATCGTACAACTTCTGGGGTGGAGCGTGTGGAGATCAGATCTGGGTGGTTAGTGAATCTGTCACCCCAGACGTGCATTGTTTCTCCATGTTGGGAACGTCCAGTGCCCCTCCAGCATCCCTGTAAACTGTAGTCACCTGCCGTGCCGTAGGGCATGAGAACTTGTCCCTCCGATGCAGCCGTGTCTAGCACATGAACCTGGTAAGAATGGGTGTCCTGACTACCGACGCCGCAGAAGCTGGGCACAGAACCCTATCCTCGCTGGTCACATGGGGCAGAAGGAAAGCCAGCTTTCTGTGCACACCTGCACCCACCTGGCCTAGCCCCGTGGAGGGAGAGGAGGTCAGGCAGCAGCAGTGACAGTGACGGGTACAGGTGACCTTGGCCTTGGCCTTGGCCTCTCGGGATCCTCCCTCCTACAGCAGCTCTGGGCTCTGTGAGGAGCCACCTAGCCCAGACCTGCCTTGGGCTCCCAGGTTCCAGATGCCTCTCCAGGTCCAGGCCCAAAGCTGGACAGAGCTCTGCACTCATGGTGGGCCTGCTCACAGAGAGAGGAGGTCTGAAAATTAGAGCTCATGAGCTGAGAGCGGCTTTGACACATTTAAATTTGTAAGACAAAATAGAAAGAATAGGCAGTGAGGATTAGATGGAGCTTGCAAAACCCGGAATGCTATTTGGCCCCTTGCAGAAAAGTGTACCCAGCCTGGTCTAGCGGGGTGGATGGACGCTGTCCATGTGCACACTGCTGACCGCCCTGTGCTCGGTGTGGTGGCTCCCTGAGGAAGGGCAGCCTATGGGTGACTGTGGCGGCTGGAACAGGGTGACACTCCCTTGGCCAGGAGGGAGGGCGGTGCTGCGCGGTGTGGATAGAGGCCAGGAGGCACCGGACAGCAGCAGTGTGGCTGGACACAGCCTCGGGCAGGGGGCCGGGAGGTTTGAGGGGAGTGGGGGTCCCATGGCGGGTGTGAACACTGTGGCCACAGGAACCAGCCAGGGGCCGTCGGAGGCATCCAGGGAGGATGAGGACACACTGGAACCAGGGGGCTGCTGGGAACAGGGAGCGCCGGGCTGGGCCACAGTGCTTCAGGTGGAGACTGTGGGAGGCTGTGGGTGCTGAGGGGTGGGGTGGTAAGGCAGCGCGCCTCTGCCCCATGCAGTCCCCATAGGAGCCCCTTTCTGAGCCCGGCGCTCCAGACTTCCGGAAACAGGAGAGGCTCACAGGAAGAGTCTGTGCACTCTTTTGGGAGGGCGGGTGGGGAAAGCCTTTGTTTCATACTCAGGTAGCCATCCCCAACCATTTGGGGACGGCTTAGTGGGAGACAGTTTCTCCATGGGCTGTCTGGGTGGAGGCTGGTTTCGGGATGAAACTGCTCCACTTCAGATCCTCACAAGGAGCAGGAAACATACATCCCTTAAATGTGCAGGTCACAATAGGGTTCGAGTTCCTAGAACACTCGAATGCAGCCGCTGATGGGACGGGAAGGAGTGCCAGCGATGGGGGCGCCTGGTACAGATGAAGCCTTGGTCACTCACCTGCCCACTGCCCACTTCCTGCCGCACGGCCCAGTTCCTCGCAGGCCACGCGGCAGTCCTGGTCTCTGGTTTGGGGCCGGGGACCCCACGCTAAGGGCTTGATGATGCACATTTTGCAGGACCTGGATTGAGAGCCTGTCCCAGTACGCCATGAATAACTGGCTGCGCTCTGCAGAGATTGGACAGGAACTCCAGGAGGCGTGGATCGTGCAGAACGCTGTGGTCTACGTCCTGAACCACAGCCGTCACCTGATCCTGGCTGGGCGGCAGAAGGAGCTGGTGGACACCCTGCAACACCTCCTGAGCATCGTCAAGGCCACAGGCCACAGCGGGTGCGTGTGGATCAGCTGCACTGCGTTCCCTCGAGGATTGGCTTCTTCCCATAGTTGGCCTCTTCCCTCAGGACACCCCAAAACAGCTGCGCTCCGTGGCCCTCTGCGTCTCAGCAGAGGCGGGTCGTGGGCACCGCACACCTCAGTCCTGCTACCTGAGGACTCTGTGCATAGGACCAGGTGTGGCCTGCGGGGGCCACGGTTCCCTCTGACGAGCGTCTCTCCCAGGGACCCTGTGATGCTGGTGACGCTCTGCAACACCCTGGCGCGAGGCCTGATCATCAGCTGGATTCCAGCCGTGGCCACCGAGAAGTCCAGGAAATCGGTGCGAGGAAATGCCTTTCACAGCACGCTGGATGCAGGAGCCGCCTCCGAGGTCAAAGCAGCGGTAGAGGTACCACTTCCATGATGCTGAGAGAGAGAGAGAGAGAGAGAGACAGAGACAGAGAGACAGAGAGAGAGACAGAGAGGGAGAGAGAGAGAGGGAGAGAGACAGAGGGAGAGAGAGAGGAAATGCCTTTCACAGCACGCTGGATGCAGGAGCCGCCTCTGAGGTCAAAGCAGCGGTGGAGGTATCACCTCCATGATGCTGAGAGAGAGAGAGAGAGAGAGACAGAGACAGAGACAGAGACAGAGACAGAGACAGAGACAGAGAGGGAGAGAGAGAGAGGGAGAGAGACAGAGGGAGAGAGAGAGGAAATGCCTTTCACAGCACGCTGGATGCAGGAGCCGCCTCCGAGATCAAAACAGCGGTGGAGGTACCACCTCCATGATGCCGAGAGAGAGAGAGAGAGAGAGAAAGAGAGAGACAGAGAGAGACAGAGACAGAGAGAGGAAATGCCTTTCACAGCACGCTGGATGCAGGAGCCGCCTCCGAGGTCAAAACAGCGGTGGAGGTACCACCTCCATGATGCCGAGAGAGAGAGAGAGAGAGAGAGACAGAGAGAGACAGAGACAGAGAGGGAGACAGAGAGAGAGACAGAGAGGGAGAGAGAGAGAGGGAGAGAGACAGAGGGAGAGAGAGAGGAAATGCCTTTCACAGCACGCTGGATGCAGGAGGCGCCTCCGAGGTCAAAGCAGCGGTGGAGGTACCACCTCCATGATGCTGAGAGAGAGAGAGAGAGAGAGAGAGAGAGAGAGAGAGAGACAGAGACAGAGAGAGAGAGAGAGAGACAGAGGGAGAGAGACAGAGAGAGAGACAGGGAGAGAGACAGAGACAGAGACAGAGGGAGAGAGACAGAGGGAGAGGGAGAGACAGAGAGAGACAGAGACAGAGGGAGAGAGACAGGGAGAGGGAGAGACAGAGACAGAGAGACAGAGAGAGACAGGGAGAGAGACAGAGGGAGAGAGAGACAGAGAGAGACAGACAGGGAGAGAGACAGAGGGAGAGGGAGAGAGGGAGAGAGAGAGGGAGAAGGAGAGAGGGAGGGAGGGAGGGAGCGATGGGAGACGGGGGAGAGGGGAGAGAGGAGAGGGGAGGAGAGTGGAGAGGAAGAGAGGCGAGGGGAGAGAGAGTGGTTGTGTGTGTGTGTGTGCGCGTGTGTGCTGAGGGGAGCGGTGGGGGAGGCAGCTGACCCAAGAGGCAGCCCTATAGACCGGGAGGCTGGGGGCCGAGGTTCTGAAGGCTCCTGGAAAGGCCCTGGGTTAGCGAACTTCCCTCAGTAGCGGTGACAGATGTGAGAACAATTTAGGAAGTAAAACATCAGGGGCCCCCACTGCTGGGAAATAAGGTGAGGGCTGGAGAGAGCAAAGCAAGACACGTGGGTGGGCGTGGAGCCTCCCCTTGGGTCTCAGGTGGCTCCTCCAGGTGGAGAGCAGAGTGGAAATAGAAGAAGCGTTGGATTGGAACAGCGAGAAACAGGGACCGAGCCACCCACACGTCCCTGTAGCCACTCCAGTAAAATGCAGCAGACCGTGTGTGGAGCGATGCTGGCAGCCCAGCGTGTCATTTCTCCCATGGAATTTGGATTTTGTTTTAGTCCCGTAGGAAGGAAAGAAACAGTGTCCTTGCTGCCGGATGCTGAAGTGCTTGCTGACCCATCGCTCATTTCTAACTCAGAAGAACTGCTTAAAACTGGGAGAAAGCCCATTTCCTAATGAGTCAAGGGGGTCTGTCAGGAACCTCACATCGCCTGAGTGTGGAGCAGCCACAGTGGGGCCAGGACAGGGAGGCCTTGAGCGTCCCCAGCAGGGCACAGGCGCCCGTCCCCGCCCTTGCAGGAAGCTTTCGTGCTAAAGCTCATCCTGCGTAATGATTTCTGGACCCTGGATAAACCGTGGGCCAGAGAGTCTCGAGCCTGCAGCACGGCGCTCACGGTCAGCGCTCACAGTCAGCTGCGCCAGGCCAGAGCCAGAGTGGAGAGGGCCCTGGTGCTGCCGGCTCCCAATGGGGATGGCTGGCCCTGGGCAGTCATCCTGTAGCCTGTAGCACCAGCTGGGCATCAGATGCAGGTTCTGAGAAGGGACAAGGGGCCGGCCCCAGGGGCCTTTCGGGGTCAGAATGGAGGCTGCCCAGGGGCCTGCAGGGGTCGGGCTGGAGGCTGCAGAAGGGAGGGTGCTGTGGACGGCTTGGGCAGCTGTCTGTGGGGCTGAACCTGCTGCGGTCCCAGGAGGCAGCTGGTGGGTGCAGAGGAGCTTCCTCGTGGATGTGATGATGGCCGGATGCAGATGCTGAGAGGAAGCCCTGGCACTGGCCTGGCAATTCACTCCGGAAGCATGGAGTGAATGGCAGAGTGCGAGGAAGAGGCACAGGAAGCCGGCTAGGGTAGCTCCCAAGCCGGGCATCCGCACAGCCCCAGCAGGAGCCAGGTGGCGAAGAGGGGAGTTAGGACTTCCCAAACATTCCGACGGGATGTATTTGTGGAATCTGACACGTGTTTGGAAGTTTATCCAGAAGGAAGGATGCTGCCCAGCAGCTGTCTGAGCTACTGAGGCATTTTGCCTCCCTGTGTGTGCAGTCGCATCCTCGGCGCCCGGGGTTGGGGGCTTCACCTGCTGGGTTTGCCATGCAGCCCCTGGAGGGCCTGAGCCTGAGGTGCTATGGGCCCTTCACAAGCTGGACCAGGGGCTGGGGCCATCATTCTTTTAGTGGTTTGGATGTTGGCTCAGGGTCCCCTGTTGAGAATTCAGGTTTCATGACTAAGAACGCGTCCATCCCAGGTCTGCGAGTTTGCACTGAACCTGACTAATGGGAGCACGCCAGAGGAGACGGTGCCCACCCGCATCCGGCAGCAGCTCCTCGCCACCTGGGTCAAGGCCAAGCAGCTCCTGCAGCAGCAGATCGGGCCACGGCTGGGCACCGAGGAGCAGGTGGGCACCCCCATCGGCATCCGGGCTCCAACCGATGCCCTGGGGACACACATGTCTGAGGCAGCCGGGGTGGTGGGCCCCCGGGACCACTTAGCTCCAGACGGCGCCATCAGGGTGGCCTGGCACTCCCTGATGGGAGCCTCCTCTGCCCACCCATCCACGGCGTCTGTGAGCTGCCGGGCCTCTGGGGGTGCTGCCGTTTCCCAGGGATGAGCGCGCTCTGGGAGGTCCCATGAGCTCCTGGAGAGCTGATGGAGGAGGGGCCTTGAATCCTGGCCAGGAGCGAGGGGTCAGGTGGGGCCCAGGGAGGCAGGGAGGGTCCAGGCATTGACCTGCCTACCCAGGCAGCCACCATGTCAGGCCCACTGGTCCTTCCCTCCCCGGGGGTCACCTGGCCGTCCAACAAGGCTGCCTCACACACGGGGGCTGCACGGCCTTGGGGCTCTTCGTTGTCTGAGAAGATGATGTGTAGTCAACAGTTACAAACATAACCTCAGGTATAAATGCTCCCAATTTCAGGGTCTGATCATGGCCCTTAAACTAATACCTTGCAGTGTTAAATTCAGGCATATTCCAGACGCTGCCCCACAGCGTTATGTTCACACATGTTCCAGACTTTCCCCTGCACCCTTGGGGCTGACACACTCAGGGCATCCTCCCCACCAGGGCACCAACGAGGATGTCAGCTCCATCACCAGAGTCCTTGTTGCCTTGGAAATGTACTCGTGCAACGGGCTGGGCCTCATGGACTTCAGCGTCCCCTCCCTGGCCCAGGTAGGTGTCGCCAGTGGTCCTGGGAGATCAGGGGCAAGGACCCCAAGGCTCTGAGGGTGTTGCCCGAGGTGGGCAGAACTCAGGCCCCAGTGTGCATGCTCGCCCCGCTCTCCCCCGCCTCCCAACAGAGCTGCGCCCTCCACATGCTTCCTTCAGCTTCACACTCGGAGTGCCCCTGTCTCCTGGGGTGAGGCACATGCCGTCTGAGCAGACCCTTCCTGTCCCGCCCCACCCTGAGCCACTCAGTGCAGGTCGGGGGTAGCCAGGTGGCTGCACACATCGTGCTGTGTCCAGGACAGCCTGTGGGATGTGGGAGCCACAGGACGTGAGGGGCTGTCACAGGCATGGACATGGCAGCTCCGCTTTTGTGGACAGCATGCAGTGGCCTCCACAGGCCACGCCTGTTTAGAATCACATGCGCTGCCTGATCGGGGAGTGCAGGCAGTGGGAAGGTCACTGTCGCTCACACGGTGCCCCTTCTCCTGCCGCCCACCGGAAGTTGGTGAAAATGGCTTCGGAGTGCAACTGGTCGGACCCCCTGGTGGAGCTGCAGACCCTGACGCGGCTGACCCACTTCGCCCATGCAGCACGTGACCATGAGACCACCATGGCCTGTGCTCACAAAGCCGCTGAGATGGGCGTCAAGTACCTGAAGATATTTGGTCCGTGAGTAACCTCTCATGACTGGACGAATTCCCCCAACAGGGGCAGGGAGCGTGGGCCTTGGCCACAGTCACAGATCAGGGTACTCCCACCAGGTCCCCAGGCCCAGGCCTGAAAACTTCCTGCGGGCGTCAGCCATGCACCCAGGCACCCCTGCCTGCCAGCCCCTGCTCTCATGGATGAGTCATCAGTGGCCCTGTGGAAAGCTGGGTCAGGAAGGATTCTGAAGTCACATGGGCCTCAGCAGGAGGGTGTGTGGCCGACTGGCCATGTGTGCATGGCAGACACAGAAGGGATCTCAGCCCATTCAGAGGCTGAGACAAAGGGCCACAGATGGGGGGGCTTCAACCCTAGGTGGTTCCCACTCACAGTTCCAGAAGCTGGAAGTCCCGTCGAGGTGCGGCAGGTTCGGTGTCTGCAGAGGGCCCCTTCCTGGCTCACAGATGGTGCTTCCTGCTGTGTCCTCACATGGTGGAAGGGGCAGGGAACTCTCTGGGGTCCCTTACAAAAAGACCAGCACCATGGGGTGAGCACTTTTCAGCATGGGAATTTCGAGGGCACAGACATTCAGCCTGTAGCAGGTAGAAAGTGGCTTCCATCTGCCGTTTCTGACAACATACAGGCTTGTTTGCAGTTATTTTGAATAGACAGGTATGCACGCTGATTAAGTTTGGGAATAAATGAGGATGGTTTCAATGAGGGTACATCGCCTCTGGCTCTGGCTCCTCACCTCCCGACTCAGCCGCCCACCACACCCACCGCCGGCACAGCCGGACGCAGAACGTTTCATTCTGCCCTTGAATTTTCACGGTTCTCACTTTCAGTAGCTAATTCTGATCCATCCAGTTCAGCAATTGTTACCGTCCCTAGTGTTTTTCCGATATTTGAAAATGAGGCTGTTGTCCATGTGTTACTATTGTAAATATTCCTGTGGTGAAGGCTGTTGTTCGTGTGTTGCTGTTGTAATTATTCCTGCAGTGCAGGCTGTTGTCCATGCATTGCTGTTGTAGATATTCCTGCAGTGAAGGCTGTTGTCCATGCGTTGCTGTTGTAAATGTTCCTGCAGTGCAGGCTGTTGTCCATGCGTTGCTGCTGTAGATATTCCTGCATTGAAGGCTGTTGTCCATGCATTGCTGTTGTAATTATTCCTGCAGTGCAGGCTGTTGTCCATGCGTTGCTGTTGTAATTATTCCTGCAGTGCAGGCTGTTGTCCATGCGTTGCTGCTGTAGATATTCCTGCATTGAAGGCTGTTGTCCATGCGTTGCTGCTGTAGATATTCCTGCATTGAAGGCTGTTGTCCATGCGTTGCTGTTGTAATTATTCCTGCAGTGCAGGCTGTTGTCCATGCGTTGCTGTTGTAAATATTCGTGCAGTGCAGGCTGTTGTCCATGCGTTGCTGTTGTAAGTATTCCTGCAGTGCAGGCTGTTGTCCATGTGTTGCTGTTGTAATTATTCCTGCAGTGCAGGCTGTTGTCCATGCGTTGCTGTTGTAAGTATTCCTGCAGTGCAGGCTGTTGTCCATGCGTTGCTGTTGTAATTATTCCTGCAGTGAAGGCTGTTGTCCATGCGTTGCTGCTGTAGATATTCCTGCAGTGAAGGCTGTTGTCCATGCGTTGCTGTTGTAAATGTTCCTGCAGTAAAGGCTGTTGTCCATGCGTTGCTGTTGTAAGTATTCCTGCAGTGCAGGCTGTTGTCCATGTGTTGCTGCTGTAGATATTCCTGCAGTGAAGGCTGTTGTCCATGCGTTGCTGTTGTAAATGTTCCTGCAGTGAAGGCTGTTGTCCATGCGTTGCTGTTGTAAATATTCCTGCAGTGCAGGCTGTTGTCTATGCGTTGCTGTTGTAATTATTCCTGCAGTGAAGGCTGTTGTCCATGCGTTGCTGCTGTAGATATTCCTGCAGTGCAGGCTGTTGTCCATGCGTTGCTGCTGTAGATATTCCTGCAGTGAAGGCTGTTGTCCATGCGTTGCTGCTGTAGATATTCCTGCAGTGAAGGCTGTTGTCCATGCGTTGCTGCTGTAGATATTCCTGCAGTGAAGGCTGTTGTCCATGCGTTGCTGTTGTAATTATTCGTGCAGTGAAGGCTGTTGTCCATGCGTTGCTGCTGTAGATATTCCTGCAGTGCAGGCTGTTGTCCATGCCTTGCTGCTGTAGATATTCCTGCAGTGAAGGCTGTTGTCTATGCGTTGCTGCTGTAGATATTCCTGCAGTGCAGGCTGTTGTCCATGCGTTGCTGCTGTAGATATTCCTGCAGTGAAGGCTGTTGTCCATGCGTTGCTGCTGTAGATATTCCTGCAGTGAAGGCTGTTGTCCATGCGTTGCTGTTGTAATTATTCGTGCAGTGAAGGCTGTTGTCCATGCGTTGCTGTTGTAATTATTCGTGCAGTGAAGGCTGTTGTCCATGCGTTGCTGCTGTAGATATTCCTGCAGTGCAGGCTGTTGTCCATGCCTTGCTGCTGTAGATATTCCTGCAGTGAAGGCTGTTGTCTATGCGTTGCTGCTGTAGATATTCCTGCAGTGCAGGCTGTTGTCCATGCGTTGCTGCTGTAGATATTCCTGCAGTGAAGGCTGTTGTCCATGCGTTGCTGCTGTAGATATTCCTGCAGTGAAGGCTGTTGTCCATGCGTTGCTGCTGTAGATATTCCTGCAGTGCAGGCTGTTGTCCATGCGTTGCTGCTGTAGATATTCCTGCAGTGAAGGCTGTTGTCCATGCGTTCCTGCTGTAGATATTCCTGCAGTGAAGGCTGTTGTCCATGCGTTGCTGTTGTAATTATTCGTGCAGTGAAGGCTGTTGTCCATGCGTTGCTGCTGTAGATATTCCTGCAGTGAAGGCTGTTGTCCATGCGTTGCTGTTGTAAGTATTCCTGCAGTGCAGGCTGTTGTCCATGTGTTGCTGCTGTAGATATTCCTGCAGTGAAGGCTGTTGTTTATACGTTGCTGTTGTAATTATTCGTACAGTGGACACTGTTTTCCTTGAGATTCTTTTTGGCTAATTTTCTGGGTCTCATTATCCTGGAAGATGAAATTGCTGACCCAACGGCTGTAAAGTTGTTCCCTGTTGCCAAATGGCCAGTGTGGGCAGCTCCTGCCACAGCCAAGGAGCACCCCATGCCCCAACCCTATCTTCCCACAGCTCTGCCCACAGGGATGGCTCCACAGCCTGTGTTGGCCACACCTGTGGGGATGTGGGGCCAACATAGGAACATGCCAAGACATGTTTTATGGCAGCAATTTCCATGTGTCCACGGTCTCCTGGGTGCTCAGGGGCACAACCAGGCCCATGCTCAGGATCAACGCATCACACACCAGGCCCATTCACCATTCACTCTTCTCAGTGCTCAGGACGGGGCACCACACGCCAGGCCCCATTCACTCTTCTCCGTGCCCAGGACGGGGCACCACACGCCAGGCCCCATTCACTCTTCTCAGTGCCCAGTATGGGGCAGCACACACCAGGCCCATTCACCATTCACTCTTCTCAGTGCTCAGGACGGGGCACCACACGCCAGGCCCCATTCACTCTTCTCAGTGTCCAGTATGGGGCAGCACACACCAGGCCCATTCACCATTCACTCTTCTCCGTGCCCAGGATGGGGCAGCACACGCCAGGCCCCATTCGCTCTTCTCAGTGCCCAGGACGGGGCAGCACACGCCAGGCCCCGTTCACTCTTCTCAGTGCCCAGGACGGGGCAGCACACGCCAGGCCCCGTTCACTCTTCTCAGTGCCCAGGACGGGGCACCACACGCCAGGCCCCGTTCACTCTTCTCAGTGCCCAGGACGGGGCACCACACGCCAGGCCCTGTTCACTCTTCTCAGTGCCCAGGATGGGGCACCACACGCCAGGCCCGTCCACTCTTCTCCGTGCCCAGGACAGGACACCACACGCCAGGCCCCGTTCACTCTTCTCAGTTGGTAGGCATTGCTATTCTGAGGCTCCAGAGCAGGAAACAGGCAGGCAGAGGCCCACTTGTTCCTGAGGCCACCCAGCTGGGGTGATTGGCAGAGCTGGGACTGGACCCAGGCGACTGGCTGTCAGCGCCGCCTTCGTAGGGGTGAGGCTGTGAGTACTCGGGAGGCTGTGGGCTGTGCGGAGAGCCGTGCACCTGGGACCCGGCCCTGCCGGCCTGGCACCTCTCAGCTTGGTGCCCCATGCTCACCAGGGGGCTGGAGGGAGAGCGTGGAAGCAAAGGGCCAGAGCAGAGCCCAGTCCCACGGTTTTCTCTCTCCCAACACTGAGGGGCTTTTCGTTGTGACTTTCTCTGAAACAGCGTGGACAGGATTCGTTCTCTTTGGCATCCCTCTGTCAGAGGCTAGAGGTTGCGTTTTCCTGCAGTCCGTAATAAAATCAGTTTGCTTCTGTAAGGAAGACTCAGCTGCTCTGAGGTTCCTGCCTGGCGACCCCGACCCCTGAGCTCGACGGCAGCATGTTAACTGCACCCTCGGGAGGAGCGGAGGCTCCTCAGGCCTTGGAGAAGTCCCTTCAGCTGTAACGAGACCAAATCACAGAAATGGAAAGTTACTCTGGATGAAACAGTTTATGTGAGGATCCGAAGAGAACATTTCAGACAAAAACACCATGAAGAGACTTGAGGGGATGCGGTGTTTACAGACTGAAAACAGAGGCACAGTTGGGGCCAGAAACCCTTGAAAATTAATCAACTCCAGAGGTAATTCCTGGAGTTGAAAGAAAATTAAGTGAAGGGTTAGAAGATAAAACCGAGGAAATGTCTCAGAGAACAGGCGAAAAAGGACAGAGATAGAAAATGTGAGAGAAGAGCCGCGTACAGGATGAGTACAGGAAGGAGGTTGAACGTGACCCACAGGCTGAGCGCCCCTTACCCAAGATGCTGAGGCCAGACTGCGTGGATTTCGGATTCGGGGGTTTGGAATGTTCCGGGGGTTTGGAATGTTCTGTGGGATTTGGAATTTTCCGGGGGGGGGGGCGGTTTGGAATATTCACATTTTGGTCCTAGCTCAGAGTCCCTACTTCAAAATCTGAAAT